ATAAGTATTCACATGGCTCAATCACGTCCTGGTTGAAGTTTGTTCGCTACGCTCACTCACCTTTAAGTTGGAGCTCGTTCGCTACGCTAACTCGCCTCCAGTTTGAAGTTGGTTCGCTACGCTAACTAGCTTCCAGTTTGAAGTTCGTTCGCTAGGCTCACTCACCTTGGGGTTGCAAATTAGCTGTTGTCATAAATTTAAAAAAAATAATTGTGCTGCACCCTGTTGGTAATCCTTGTAACTTTAATGCTATTGAACATCATAGAACAGAACCAACTTGTTTAATTGAAACAGCTGTTAAGATTCATCAATTCCTTTTAAATATGAAAAATCATAAGGCTAACATGGGAAACTCCAGAGCCACTGGGGCAGAGCCCGAAAGCCCGATCAGAATAAAAACTACTTAGTTCTCCTAGGTAAATGGGAAGTGGGAGAATTAGTGATGAGTGAGTGAGGGCTTTGCCTTTTATATATTTAGATTAAAGTATTAGGATGTAAACTGGGATTATCTCAGTGTATGACAATAACGTCGGCGAGGGATCATTGTTACTAAGTTACTACACTTCGATTCCCATAACTGATTTCTTGGAGCCAAATTATATGAACATAAATGGGATTTTTAAAAATACCTTTGACTTTTTATCACCATGAACAAATATATATTAAAGCTGGCCAGTTTTGATGAACAAACTTCGATGTGTGACTAATAAAATCATTGGTTTCCATCTCAAAATGTATTATTTAAGTTACAATTAATTCCATTGTTATTAATGAGTTCATCTCATTAATAACAAATTTCAAAATAAAGATAATTTTTTGAACTTTTCAAATACAGGTTACAATTGAAAATTTTCAATAGGTACTTTTTTATCAGCAATATAAGATTTTCTGACTCAAACCCACTTTCAACTTTCTCACATATTGTGGCACAGCTTACTAAGCAACCGAACTATAGATGTGGAGCCTTTATTATCCAGAGACAAGTTAAATTTAAGAATGAAAATGCCAGGTTAATCTACCAGAAATATATTTTTGCACTTTAGGTAAACTGGTTAAAAATGAGTATCAAATTTACTATGAAAGACAACTAAACAAGATGATTTAAGTTGTTCTGAGTCTCTACCACACAGTATTGTAAGTTACTACGGGTTTAATTTTTTTTAACAACCCTGAACACCTACTTGGAAAATAATTCCATGGAAACCATTGAAGGGTTTAAAGACTCATTGAGGATATGTTTGTGGGAGGGATATCTGAGAGCTTTAGAGGACTGATGACCTTTTAAACAAATATGACAAGAGAACACAAACAGTAAGAAATAAAAAGAAAGTGAAGACATAGTGGTAAAGAATGTATCATATATTTAGTGGCGTGTAGGTGTATGGAACATACAGTATGTGCACTACCTAACATATAGAAAATAATGATACACTATATACACCAATCAGTTCATCAAGTGAGGACACGTTATTGTCATTTATCCGTGAATCACGTCTTCAACGTTTGACACTAACACTGTATACACAGTATACATCTCACTGCTTACAATCACACCTCGGTAACAAAACGTCTTAAAAAAACACCTAATTTATTCTACACTATGACTAATAAAACATTTCTTAGGTACTTTATTATAAACTTTTCTAAATTCAACAATGAAATTTTCAAGCGATAACTATTGCCACTCAACTCAAGATTGTTTGAACAATTGAAAGTAGCCCACAGTAAAACTACAACAAACATAAACTGTACGGGCACAAGAAATTTAAACCATAAATTTACTTTTATTCAGGCCTAACCGTTGTGGTCGACATAGCATATCTTAAATTTAAATTTGTAACAATTATACAAGTTGATATTTTATGAGTCTGTCTTGTGAATAGTTTCACTTTTTTAATCGTTTATAAACAGCAATCTTTGCTTAAGTTTATATCTAAAATTCATTGCACTTCTCTGAGCTTAAAATAAATAAAGTCTCACTTAATACACTTTTTAATACATCATCATTAAATAGTAACATTTAACTAAATATAAGATCAACCAATTAAACATTGACAAGTTAATTAGATTAATTAGACCAATCAACCAACTAAATTTCAGTTTAAAAAAAAATCTCCTGTTAAAACAACTATTTATAAACATATTGCTATATATGAATTAATACCAACCTAAGAAGTAATTAAATACTTAGTTCTTAGTAGTTTTTCCTAACTTTTATTAAGTTTAGAACTTTGAAACTTCATGGAAATTCAAAGAACTTCAGTTTGTATTAATGGACTTCAATAACGGTGAAACTAATTCAAACGGACCGGCAAGATGACCAAATCAGATTGTAATCTCGTTTTATTAGGTTTATTTTCATACGAGACAAGAATAAAGTATTTCTAAAATCCTTAAATAATATCAGTGACAAACCAAAGTCAGCACCATCTACTCACAAATATAAACTTTTTTTAAATTCATGAATTGAACTATTTTCACAACTATATAATATCTGATTACAATTTCCATCTTAAAAAACCGTACAAGTTTTGTAACTCAAAAGAGTTAATTGTTTTCATTTCAGAATTTGAAACTAGAAAAAGTAAAAAAACCTATTTTTTTATTTTGCATTACGGTATTCAAAACATTATGTATGGATGATATAAGGTACAAAGAATTTATGTTGTTTTAGATAGAACTAATACACTTAAGCTCAATCAAAACTTCATTTACAATCCACAACAGTCAAAATAGCATTATACAACAAAATAATAAAGGTGAAAATGTAAAAGAAAAAGAGTTCTGATTGTTAGAGAGACAACAATAAAAAGGTTATGTAAAAGACATGCTTGAGGAGACAAAGACAAAATGCAAGATACAAACTTTACTTAATGAGAACAACATTGTCTTACATACTGATGATAAATATTTTATATGTACAAACTAACAAAATGGAATAAACAACCTTTTCATATCACATATTATAGTCATTTGTTTCATATCTGTAACAAAGTAGGAAATCAGTTTTCTGATTGTGCGTTTAATAAAATAGACAAAGACTGAATCCACAATTTTTAACACAATCAATATTAAACATACAAATTGAGAAAATTAAAAAGTCAATCATGAATGTTAAATATAAAATATTGATACAAGAAAATACCGCAGCCTAAATTTGTGTTTAGACTTCTGCAAAACTTAATTGGTCAACTAAAAATTGGTATTTAAAATAGTAATAGATTAAAATCATGTTAGAAGTACATTATGTACGTAGTAAATGTTCAAGGAAACATCCAAATTTACGGTAGGGATGGGCAAATTTCAAAGGATAGTTGTCTATTTCATCAGATTTAATAAGAATTGGAACCGAGAATTTATCATATCTTATACATCATTTACAGCAATTGCAACCTCTGCTACTTCTCAATTAATCCAAGATTATGAAATTATAAGAACTTTCTCATTGTTCATTACCAACAACTCAGAGGGTCTATTAGCATTGCCAACAATTTCATCTCAACCGATTTTAAAATGAAACATTAATATTATTATTCCCCTTGCAACAGGAATATTATCCAATGTATATTCTGTAAATTATTTGTAATGTTTAGTTGTGTTAATTGTTTGTTAGTTTTCTTTTTACTGACTTTTAACAAAAACTTCATACAATTCAACAGAACAATTATTTAAATTATAATTTATTTGTTGATTTTTACTTTAACAGACTATAATAGATTAGGCTAACGAACTCAGGGAAAACATAATTGGAATGGAATTGAATAAATCAGAGCTGGGAATAATAATTCAGTATAATGTTACTCATATGAGATTCTATACCCATCCCTAATGAATAACAGTTAGCATAGTATATCAATGTTGGTAATTTTGCATGGTAATATTTTTAGCTGCAAGGTAGCAAGTAAACATATTGCTATATTTAGGATATTTTCCCTTTTAAATAGCCTTCAAAGGAGAAAGATATATTCATTCTAGCCCTGTAAATGAATGAAAAAGTAGGTTTTAAGACAGAGTATTATAAATTATTAAGAAACAAATAAATAATTAGTATACAATACATGCCGTAATGACTAGAATTTAATATAATTATCGTTAGTAAAATCAAAAGGTTAAGAGTAAAATACAGTAGCAAAGAGAGACCAGATTCGTATACCTAGAAAAACGTAAAATATAAAACCTATCAAGTAATTAGTTGAACAGGCCCAATATCAGCTCTCCATACAGTGTTAGCAGTAGCACCCCCTGATTGTACAATACAAGGTGTGTTCTATCTATTCCCCATACTACGTGGAACTAGGTAAAGCAAGCCACCGGCACGAGCACTAACAAAACAAACACTACCACAAATCATTTACTTACTAAAATTGGTCACACATATCGAATGTTCAATATTCTAGTTCAATTCAAAATATTGTGCTTCTCTTTAAACATTGTGTGATTAAATAATCAAAACGTGGTTGTTTATTCTAACTCTTTTATACACAAAAATGTTCAAGCATCTCTACTAAAAAAGCGAAGTATAAAATGATCTATTACGATAATAAAAATAGCTCGAGTCTAATATTTCGATGGGCAGAGAAGTGTCTTTATAAAACCGTGTGCATTGTCTGACTGCCCTATTAGTCAAACAAGCATTACTTTACGCTTATCGCAAAAGTTTAGTAATATCCTATTTTTCTTTTCACTATATACAAAAAACCCGATTTTATTATTTACTTAGAAATAATTAAAATCTGTTAAATAAAATTTGGTTCTAACGTCTTACATTTTTCAAGTTTAAAAATATAAATCGTTATAGAAAACAGAACTACTAAAGTGCTAGTTTTGTAGTGACATGTCCGATTGTCAGATCCAACTCGTCTGTCCAATCTTACAATATTGGTGTGTTACGCATTGGTGTGAAAATACAATATATCTCGCATCAATATCTCGCATACTTGCTACAGCAACTGCAGTAAACTAAACAAATAAATCCATCTAAAGGTATGAAAACTACAAACAAGTTTGAAGTCATTCATTATTAAGTAAAAAGTAACTAATGTAATTAAAGAAATTATCAACAATTTTGTGCCTACTATGAGAATCCAGTTCACCTCAAAAGTTACATGAGCAAAATAATTCTTTTAATAAAGAATTCTAATTGAGAAAAGTCTAACATTTAGTCCAATACTTGTCTTGGTTTCAAGTTCATACAGGTCAAATCTGATAGTTCAAATAAATGTTTAGTTGCCTGGATGCTGCAATAGTCCAAATGACCCTAATAATTTGTTCTTGGATTTCAATACATTCAAATTGTAAAAAAAAAACAACCAGACCAGAAAAACTTTACTGAAAATATAATAATAGTTTTTTACACTGTGTGAATCAAATTATCAACTCGTCTATTACAGAATCTGTTATTTAAACAAAATCAAATAGTTATTTATACAATTATCTTTTCTTTAAAAAATATGAACAAATATTCAGACTATCTCAGTTCACCTGCTTACACGATAAAACATTTAAAGTACGTAAGATAAGACTACTTAATACAACGGAATGAAAACGAGGAAAATTTTAAAGACTATAACACATCTCAAAACTATAGCCTATAGAACTTAATAGTATTAATATAGCTTAATGTATAAATAAAATATATTTATATATAACTTAATAACAATTTATAATTTTCATTTTTTTTTAATTGGAAAATGACAATGTGTTGGTTTTGTTTGCCTACGTGACTAATCATTAATCAATAACCTAAGAAATAAAGAAATAACCTAACTAGGAAGATAAATAACCTAACACAGATAAATCAAACAGGAACCTTGGATAGAAATCTTATTAGTAACTAAAACAGAACTAAATGATCAAATTAATGCAAGACCCGTTCATTCTCCAAGAGCACTAGAAATATTAATGAGACCGTTGTTGTGATGTATATTTATTTTGTATCGTAATTTAAATTTCTCAAGATTATGAAATATTTTGTTTAAACTCTTAAACAATAAACCACACTGTGGTACCATATTGAAAAAAGTTTTAATATTGCATTCATGGTAACTTAATATTGTATTGAGGTAACATCTATAAAAAGAGCAGTAGGTAATATTCTAAAAGAAACCACTATTTCTTGGCACTGTATATAAGCAAACATGTTTAACTGATAAGTAATAATACAATTTTAGACAGTATTATTTTAATACCACGAAACTGTGTGGGTTTGTTCATCATCTGCCTTAAAACAAAAGTAATATTTAGTTAGGCTATTTTGTAGAAGGAATATTGTGAACATATCCAATTTCTTTTATAATTAGGTAATGTGTTTCATTTCAGATGTATTTTGTTTACAACAAGATTGGCTGCAAAGTCTATACTATAGATTATTTTTATACAGTGACCTGTGTTTTCACCATGACAATTATTTGTACGTTCTGTTCTGTTCTGGTGATAAACTCTATAACACTAGTTTATGAGGTGAGAGATTTTTCCAATCAGTTGTTGAGTGATAACAGCTCCAAACTCTTTTTATTCATTAGAAAACAAACATTGTTGAGTTGCATTGTGTTCCCTTACCGTGTGTCAGCCCCACTTAATCTTTTACAAATTGTGTTGAATCAAATCCCTTTTCTATAAATAATTCTTGTCATGTCATGTTCGTTGTAGTGTTCAGCAGACCTTACATTGCAAGATATCTTACTTTTCCTGTTGGCATAAACAACTCATTTTATATTATGTGGAATCCACAAAAAATATTATTATTATTATTATTAGTTATTACCTATATGTAAAAAATAAACCTAATAAAAAAGCAACTTTGTAGGGTAAAAAATAAACACAATAGTTTGTTTAAATAAATTAACTACCTATTGGAGTTTTTTCAAATAGTTTATTTAACAAAGTTTTTATTGAGTCTTTTTTTTTATTTCCATCCAGTTTGGATTCACTAAAATGTTAATTAGGTTCTAAAGAAAAATCATTACAACCTTAATTAATTGAGACTGCTAGTGGGAAGCAGTTAGTTATTATTTCAGTTACTGTTATTAATAAAATGATGTGTTAAAATAAATAATATTTAATCAGTTCTCTCATTTTAATCTTGGTTCAACATGTTTATACATAATAGATGTGCAACAGTTTGAAAAAACTTAGGAAAAACAAACATTTCAACTATCATATTTTTTGTAGGTTTATCTTATTTCATTCAAACAGTTAGAAAATTTCTTTACAGTCACAATTGGAATATTCCATGTTGCTTGTATATCAGGCAAGTCTATGTTTAAGTACATATGTAATGGTTTAGTCATTTAGAGGTCAACGGTGCTGGGTGTTTGCTCAAGCATGATAAGCATGTATATAAGACAAACTGCAGGATTTTAAATTTGAATATTCCAAGAAAATAGCCTAACTAGTTTTGACTAGAACTAGAAATAGCCCAAACGGTTTTGGAATGTCTTGAGTTTATATATTTATGGTGTTGACTTGTTAATGCCATTTATTTAATAGATTATATTACCCTGTAGGAACAACAGGAAATGCAGCCCAAACTTTAGTTATTTTTTGTCAACTCTCACATATTTATTAAGCCAAAGTTCATCCAGCAACGATAGTTTCTTCTGGTGTACTCACAAATACAGTACATTTATATAATGTGTCCAAAATGTCAGCAGTATGTGGCGTGGTGTTTCGCGTTCATAAATAACAGACAAGCCTACAAAACAGTACTTCACTGCCTTTAGATTATCACACACTAGGGATGTAAGTTATCGTTGATTTCCAGCAACGCAACGGCAACGTTCCGATTAACAGGTTGCCGCATACTGTTATTTTTAGCAATGTTGCCAAAAGATTGTAGCCATGTATGTTGGCGAGAGTCCGTTATCGACGACCGTTATGTCCCAGCAATCATTATTTAAATGTGTTAGACGTTATCAAGCATTTACTCATATTTTACGTTGTTCAGATGGCATAGATCAGATTGATTATATATATATATAAACATCAGTTGTACCACAGTTAACAGTTAAACAATGTTTTTTAAGTAGTTTAATTAAGCATTTTAAAAAACATCTATAAGTGTTATTTTTCGTATTTTAACGTTATATTAATTGAAAAAAAAAAAACATCAGTCATGTTAAAATTAATTCCTAACTGGGGTATTTATAAAATAAAAATAACGACTATAATTTTAAAACATGAGAATGTGTAAAACCATTTTACACTCATTTGAAAAGTATTTTTAATCAAACTGGATACTTAAGTTATGAAATGCAATTCATTCACAACGTTAAATTACCATGTTTCATGTTTTGAGAAAAATAACTCATCCAAGCCACAGTATAAATAAATTAAAACTTAAATACATAAAATCACTATAAGGCATGAAGATAAAAAACTCACTAATGTACGATCGAGAAGTATATTAAACAAATTATTCAAATTTTATTAAAAATTATCATAGATTTCCTTTGTGAATTTCTCCGGTCCTAGTCACTCCTTTCCATCTTTACAGCACAACAATATCTTTTCTTTAGTTTCCAATGCTGCTATAACAGGTGACTTACAGAAACGAGTTTGATGATTCAGTTATTTCAAGTCCCACATAAAAACTAACAACTGCGAACTGATCATTGACAATGTTTTTTAACTATTAGTTTTTAGAACTATTAGTTTTTTTTAAATCGGCGATCGGCCGATTTGCTGATGCGTTCAGAAACGCAACTGAAAAGTAAAAAAATAGGGAGATCGCGGCAACAGTCTTGCCTGACAACAGTTTCACGCGGCAATCCTGTTTTGTTATATAACTTACATCTCTAATACACTAGTGATAAGTAGTTTTAATATTTGTTACTATCTCTTATTTGTGGGCATTGTCACAACAAACCAACAGCAGGTAGGTTATCTTTAAAATAGTTAAATAATAAAAAACAAAAAAAAAACAAGAAATATTAAAATAACTGATCTGCTAAAATGAAAAAAAAACGTAGGAAAAACAATAATTTAAAACTATCACATTTGTTTGTAGGTTCATCTTATTTCACTCTAACAATTATAATATTTGTTTACAGTCAAAATTGCAATATTTCAAGTCACTTGAACATCATTCGTTAAATATGCAATGGTTTAGTCATTTAGAGGTCAACTGGTAAAATTATTAGCTGGTAAAATTAGAGAAAAATGGAGCCTGTAATGTTTTACTTTGAAGAAAAGTTATAAGCCCCTTGTACTGAGATGCATAGTACGATTTTTGGATTAGTGCACAAAGGACTCAGTTTTCTAAAGCACGACTCAGAAATCAAATGACAAATGTTCAACATAAAACTTGTTTGTTATCTTCAATTTGACGCCTATGTACCTCACAGTTTAAAAAACTATATTGTAACTGCACGATTCTTGTACAATCTATTGTATAAAATTATTACAGGTTGTGGTGACATAATAAACTCACATCAGGAAGAACGTCAAATTGACAATTCCTTCTTCGGTCCCAGAAAAAATGAAGTAGTTAAAAATATAAATAACATAAAATGAGCTTAGCGTTGCGGTGTCTATCATCACTTGCGAAGACTGTCTTTGCTAGACGCCAGCGAGGTGCCGGCAGAGTCACTGGCCTCACCATTGATGGTGCCTCTACCAGCAGAGCGACGTCCACTCACTGTCAACTCCTCCACACTGGTGGGGGTGGGCGGGGCCGAGCGACCTTTCAGCTTACTGAGCGCCTTGTCTAGTCGGTGAGTGAAGAGGTCCACGTCAGACTTGCGCATGCCCAGGGCTGCTGCGGCTGTCAGGTACGGTGTGGGGTAGTTGGAGTAGTGTGCGCCCCACCCTACAACATCATTTCAGCTTAGTAATGTTGTCACACCTCATGGATGCAATTTTCAGTAAAGGCGCGTTCACACATGGCGACTAACTAGCCGCTACTTAGTCGCCGCTACTTTAGTCGCCGCTATTTACTCGCCGGCAAATTTTCGATCTCTGTTCACACATCGCGATTTGTAGTAGTTAGTACAGTTCGATGATTCGTTGTGAGTAGAGTTTGCTGTGGAAAATGTCTGTAGGAAGGCGAGAGACTTTGAGACGTGTATTGAGTATCTGTGTTTAAGGAACTTTGTGATGAATTAGTGAATAAATTAAGAAATAAAAGAAAACGTAAGTGGGTCCGGGAGTGGATAGGGCGAAGGGATAGGCTAGGTGCTTCTGCGACACTATTGAAAGAATTGGCAAGTGAAGATCCCCAATCTTATTACAACATTATGAGATTAACAGTTCCAAAGTTTGAGGAGTTGTTAAAAATGGTATCACCATTAATAAAGAAGGAGGATACACGATGGCGGGAAGCAATTTCTTGCCGTACCAAACTGGAGATAGCTTTGAGGTATAGGCGAGTGGAGACAGCCTTAAATCACTCCAATACCTTTTTAGAGTACCATACAATACAATTTCCATTTTGTTACCTGAAGTGCTGAGTGCCATATGTGAAGTTCTTCAGCCATTTGTTATTAAAAGGAGCAAAACACAACCACGAGTCGTCAGATCGCAAGCTACCGGCTTCTAGTCGGCGATAACACTATTCACACAGGGCGACAGGGTTGCTACCACTCGCGGCGAGTGTACCACGTGACACTTCAAGGTCAGCTACTGGCGACTACTCGCCCCAAAAGTTAAACATGTCCAACTTTCCTCGCGAGTGAATTTTTACTCGCCAGCGAGTGCTAGTCGCCGCTACTTACTGTTCACACATAGCGATTAGTAGCCGCTACTCTAGTCGCAGCGAGTAAAGTCGCCATGTGTGAACGCGCCTTAAGAGGTAAACTGAGTTTGGCTACTACTGTTCTTGTTCTATAAAGGTTGTTTGTAAATTAGCCTTCAACTAGATCTAGACACAGCCAAGCGAACTAATTTGAATCTAATACTAGCCCCCTTAATTACTTCCCCATCTACTAGAGGTGTGGAGCCCGAGATTTGCCATCGAGCTGAGTTTGAGTTATAATAAGGTAAACTACCCAAACATCACAAATTGTCACTTTCGAAAAAAGTTGTTTTCCCTGTAAAATTGGGAAGAATAAGAATTGCTCAGAGAGTTTTGTTGTTGAGTGCTACATATCCAGAGTTGATTACCGTACGTCGTCAGTCAGCTGTGCTCTACGCTTAAAAAACAGGTTAGTATAATAAGCTTCCTAATAAGGATGTAATTAAAGGTTAATATTAGTATTTAAATGTGTTCCAAAAAATTTTTTAACAAAAAAAGTTTTTTTTTTATTAAAAAGTTTGATAATTAAGTCTAGGGATAGCCGAATTACTGCCCAAGTTCGTAATTGCAATAATTGAGTTCAGAAAATAAAGCTCTTTTGTATTAAGGTTACTATTTGTATGTTTGCAAATATGCCGTTTGCTAAAATTAAGAAATTGTTTGGCCATACAAGCTAATATAACCCACCAATATCAGTACTAAGTTTAAGTTACTGCAAAAGTCTAAAATGTTGTAAAAATGAGCTAATATACTTGGATCTTTTTGATCTTGATGTATTTAGATATTTTTTTATCTTGTGTGTTATAATATTATTGTATATTGACTTACTTATAATTTTTTTTGGCCTGAGTAGTGTATTTTAAGACCAGAGGCGGACCCAGGAATTTTTTAAGGGACACGCTTATATTTTTATCTGTTGTGTGGACAGATTTTTGCTACATATCAACAAAAATTTAGTGAACGTTTTAATGGTTTAAAATAAAACCTGCTTTTGAAGTTGGGTTTGGTTTACTGGTCTTTGTATATAAAAAAAATGAAAATTAGTGAAAAATGTTGGTTTTCGTTTATTGGCAATAATTTCACCGTGATCATGAAAGACGATAATGATGTACTCGCAGTCCCAGGGGACATGAACTTTTTTTGACCCGATCGCAGTACATGAACAAGATATTCTTGCAGTCACAAAAGATGTTCAGGGTTTTTCCCGGATCGCATAACGCGCTAACAGGGATGTTCAGGATTTTGTCACAATCGCAGGATATGTTTAATATTTTGCAACCATAGCTGATCAGTTGAAGACATATCTTCTCACTAAATAATATTATCTATTAGGGATGGACGGGTCCCGAAATTTCGGGGAAAAAATATTCCCGATATTCGAGGCGGAATTTGGTCTGATCGTCGGAGATTTTGCCGCTTCGCGAGTGACGATAACGCCGCTATCACGAGAGATGTTCCGCGAACGCAGGAGGCGAAGTCATAAAAACGATCGCACCGTGACCGCGAACTCAAACAGATGATCGCGCCGTGGCCGCGGAGCCACACCGACAATTGCGCCGTGACCGCGGAGTCATACTGACGATCATGCCGTGACCGCGACTCGTACCGACGATCACCCCGGACGATCACCCCGTGACCGCGGATTCGTACCGACGATCGTCCCGTGACCGCGGAGTCATACCGACGATCGTCCCGTGACCACAGAGTCATACCGACGAATACCCAAAGACCGCGGAGTCATACCGATGATCGTGCCGTGACCGCGGGGCGCGGAGTCATACCGACGATCACTCCGTGACCCCGGAGTTGTACCGACGACCACGCCGTGACCGCGACTCATAACGACGATCACCCCGTGACCGCGGAGTCATACCGACGATAGCGCCGTGACCCCGGAGTCGTACCGACGATCGCGCCGTGACCCCGGAGTCGTACCGACGATCACGCCGTGACCGCGACTCATACTGACGATCACCCCGTGACCACGGAGTCATACCGACGATCGTCCCGTGACCACGGAGTCATACCGACGATCGTCCCGTGACCGTGGAGTCATAACGACGATCGCTCCGTGACCGCGGAGTCATACTGACAACCACGCCGTGACCGCGAGTCATACCGACGATTACCCCGTGACCGCAGAGTCATACCGACGATCGCACCGTGACCGCGAGCACAAGTTTCTATAGGTAGGCTACCTGTAAATTGTTGTAACCAAACCTTTTTTTTGTTTTTATAGATCAGTGCCAAATCGGTAAAAATTGATTTCATTTGTCTTTTTTGGTAACTGCAATACTCAAGACTTTATTTTTATGCACAGGAAAAAATCCCATCCCGTCTCGTCCTGAAAATCGGGAAGGAAATAAAAATCCCGAACTAAAAATTCAATCCCGTCCATCCCTATTATCTATATTATTAAAAAAAATTTTGGATTTTGTGTGCAGCAAATTGAGCCTTAATATTTATTTTTATAGCCATATTGGGTATCAATTTAAAGCTCTTATCCTCTAGATGTACCTTTTGCAGGTTTGGATGATATCCCGTAAAAGCCCTTTGTCCTACAGGCTTTTAAAATTTCATAGTTGGTGCTGAATTCTGTTGTCAATCATCTGAAGTTTGCATTTGTTTACATCAAAACAGACGGCCATGATCAAATTTTGTTTACATCCATACGAAAAAGGGGGTTATCTCTAGTTAGTGATGTTTGAGTGAATTCAAGTAAAGCTAGGTTTTCCTAGACGCGGAAGCGAGCTAGAGCGGAAGCTGGAACGCGGAAAGCGGACTCATCTTGTCTTAGGTAATTTAATATTACTGTTTTCCTAGAAGCGGAGCAGAACGCCATGTTAACCCTTTTACTGCCGACGTCTGGTTTTTCGGACTTATTGGTCTTATAGGTTAACCAAATGCCACAAAACTCGAGATATTCCATGTCTATACTCTAAAGAAAACACTTATAAACATTTTTATACTCTATGAGACGTATAACCTATGAAGTTACACATAAGATTTTGCCATTGGTCTGTGCGTTCTAGACTTGTACTCTGTGCCGTTGTCTATCGTCTGTCATCTTGAGTTCGTGTTTTGTAAATGACGAATGTTATTGTTATTGTTTACGATTGTTTTATTTGTGGTTTAGTCTGTGAAGTATGGTGTGAAGTGTTTGTGATATAAAGAAAAATGAGTAAAAGGAGTAGGCCGAGTAGGCCTGGACGTAAATCTCCAGTTAGTGAAGGCACACTCGTGAGTAACCTTTTGCAGGATGATGACATAAACTTTGTTGATGAAGAGCTTAGTGATAGCTTTGTTGAGAACATTTCAGACTCCGAAACAGAGCCTAGTTCAGAATCAGAGGATTCTGATACTAGTTCTGATTCCAACTGCAGCTCAAAGTCAAGTCTTGGATGTTTAGGTCCAGGTTTCGATGACGATACCGACCAAGATCCTGACTATGTATCAGAATCAAGTGATGAGGATTCGGATTGTGAAATGTCCCCTAAGAGGAGACATAGGCTTGGCCCTGTTCCACCCTCAGTAAATAATGTAATCGAAGATGTTGTAAATGCCTACGCAAATCAAACTTCTCCTTATACCTCTGTTGACGAAATCATTGAAGATGTTGTGGCAAATTATGAAATTCCTCCATCACCTAATGCACCTAATGACCCTAATGCAAATGAAAATGTCAATGAGAATGAAAATGATAATGCATGGACTGTAATTGAGGAAAATAATGACCCTGATTTTGTACACAGTTTCAATTTTGACGAACTGCCTGGACCGAAACACTGCCCGCCTCATGACTCACCGCCAATCTCGTATTTCAATTTGTTCTTTACTGCCAATCTGATAAACTCTTTTGTTTTGCGAACCAACCAATATGCCAGAGACTACATTGTAAGACATGCCCACACATTATCACCAGGATCCAGAGCCAGAGATTGGAAAAATGTAACATTGGCCGAAATGAAGGCATTCATAGCAATAATACTAAATATGGGAATGATGAGGAAACCCACTATCCAAAGTTACTGGTCCAAAACTGCAAATCTTATCACTCCCTGGTTTGGTCAAATGATGAGTCGCAATAGGTTTGAATGTCTTCTTCAATTTTTCCATATAGTTGATAATAATTCTTTGGCCAAACCAGGTGAACCTGATTATGACCCATGTGCCAAGTTTACCCTGATAGTTGACCATGCAAATAGGATTTTTAGAACCTATTACACTCCGCATCGAGAAATTTCAGTAGATGAAAGTTTAGTTGGAACAAAGTCCCATTCACAAATCCTACAGTATTTACCCAACAAACACCATCATCGTTGGGGTATCAAAATGTGGATGCTCTGTGACTCAGTCACAAAATATTGCCTGGCCTTTTTTTGCTACCGTGGAAATAAAAATAAGAAAAAAACAACAGGACTAGCGTATAATGTAGTTTGTAAACTCTTAGAAGCTGGGCAGTACTTGAGGAAAGGTTATCATCTGTTTGTAGATAATTTTTTCACCAGCATTCCTTTGGCCAAATTTTTATATGACAACTCCACATTTCTTACTGGTACTGTTCGCAAAAACCGTAAAGGCATACCTGCTGTGTTGAAGGAAAAGTTTGCAGTTGGCGAAAAAAAATACTTACGCAAAGATAGCATGTTGTTTTTGGGCTACCGCGAAAAGGCGTCACAAAAAAAAACCAGTTCTACTACTGTCTACCAAAGGAACGGCAAAATCAGTGGAAGCCAGAAGACAGAAAAGGCATGAAGGAGCTATAAAAATGAAACCCGAAATAATAAACAATTATAACATGTACATGGGAGGGATTGATGGCTCTGACCAAATGTTGTATTGCTACCTGGATGAACGGAGGACGGTCAAATACTGGAAGAAGGTAGTATTCAACATATTTTCAAGAATGATCCTGAACGCCTATATAATTTATAAAGAAAATAGTTCAGGTAAACAGTTGTCCCGGTTCCAGTTTACAAATGCAATCATTGAGGAACTGTCTAGTGAATGGCTACGCCAGAGAATTCTGCAACATACTCCGATGGATGGAGGTGGCGATAATGCAGGAGCGCAACCTCAATTTGGCCTAGAGTCTCTTCCAGGTAGAATGCTCAAAAACTGTAGTGTTTGTAGTCTTCAAAGCACAAGTGCTGGGGGTAAAAGGAAAAGGAGCAGGACAATATGCAAGATGTGTAAGAAGGGTGTTCACCCAACTTGTTTTGGGGAACACAAGTGTCGATGATGGAGAACGTTACGCAAACGTGTAAATAACTTTTGTAAATATCCGCAGACATTACATTATTATAACTTTTGTGTTTTTATAGGCCTATTTTTTGTAATTTATTTCCAGAACTGAAACAAAAAATCTAGCCTACTTATTATGATTACTGATCTTAGTCGATTAGATTTAGAAGTCGCTGCCTATATGTGTAGAGGGTTAGCCGCCATTTTTTTTCCTTCGGAAAACATCTAGGCCTACAGACATTGATGTACTATTATTATAGTGGTTTTATTAGACTAGTGTTTTTTGTGTTTTATAACATCTGCAATTTTGAAGCAAGAATCCTAATTTTGATGACTGGACTATAGTGTCAGTAGAGATGCGCGACCTGGAAATTTTTTGAAGATTATAACATTTTGAAAAAAAAAAAAGATATCTCCTTTATTTTTCAAGGTAAGGGCCTGAAACTTTGTGTGTGTGTTTAGAAATGCATGTTTTATAACATAGGCTACTAACATAGGTAGAGGAATAAGTATTAGGGGTGATTATTGTAGCACAAACTAAAAAAAAATAAAAAATAAAATAAATCTTTTGTTTTTTTTACAAAAAAAAAAATAAAATAATTTAGTGAGCCAAACTAATTTTACTTCAAACAAGGGATTCAAATGGAGTAAAACAATACCTTATTTGTCAATTTTGGATAAAAAATAAAAAAGTTACAACATTTTTTCAAAAGTTCTACGTCTACGTTTTGCCCAAATTAAGCCCGGCAGTCTTAGCACGTCAGTATTACAAGTGGTGTGGCATTTTTAGCAACAATGAAAAAAAAAATGGCCGGCAGTAAAAGGGTTAATTGCTTTTCCGCTCTCCGGTTGGTGTTTTAGGGAATTCAAGTAAAATATTGTAATGTTATTTGTTTAAAATGCAAAGAAGAAAAATACATTAGATTTTGTGCTGTGATAGGATTTTGTGCTTTCATAGTCTGATTTATTGGTGTTTTGGGGAATTCAAGTAAAATATTGTAATGTTATTTGTTTGAAATGCAAAGAAGAAAATTACTTACTACATTAGATTTTGTGTTTTCATAGTATGTATCATTAGTATTTGTAATTTTTCTTTTTCTCTAAGATACCTCAAAGAGATCGCATACGCAATAAAAATAATAGGGATCTCAGTTTGTTTTTGTATGCTGAAGACACTAATGTAGTGATAAAAAGCAATGATTTTCAGCAATTAGAAAAATCAATTAAAACAACTGTGGATGAACTAAAAAATTGGTTTTACTAAAATAGTCTTTTAATGAATGATTCTAAAACCCACTCAACTTAAAATTAGAAACTGTGAGAAAAACTAGTTTGAGAATTTATCCTGTGGAGAGCTAAAATCAGTCAATGTACAAGGTTCTAGGAATACACTTTGATCATAAACTAAAATGGGAAAATCATATTCAATATCTGTCCAAAAAGTTCAATTCGTTTAGGTTTGCATACATCAATGGATGTATGTAAAATGGTATGCCACGCCTACATCGAATCAATAATTAGATATGGAATAGTACTTTGGGGATGTCAACCCCAAACAAAAATTCTTTTTAACGCTCAAAAACCAATAATGATGACTATGGCTCGAGTTAAAAGAAGAAAAAGCTGCAGATCTTTATTTAAAGATATTGGTATCTTAACACTTAGGCTACAAATCTTTATATATATGAAATTAATAAACTAATGTTTAATGATATTAAAATTTGTGATGACTGTAAATTCAACCATACCTATCCAACTTGACATCAGAACAAATTGAAATTTCCTCAAAATACATGGCAGTAAAAGTTTATAATAAATTGTACAGTATTTTACAAAACAATAATTCCAAGAACCTAGCCCTTACATCTTTACACAAACTTCTTTCACAAAATAATACTACATTGTAGAAGAGATTCTTAAGGATACTTTGTAAAATGATACGCTGAATCATAAGGTCTTTTCTGGTTATTTATAAGATATTTTACTTCTGTTAACTTTATTAGTTTTAGTTTAGGTTTAGTTTATATTGTGACGACACTCCCAGTCTTTTGTACCTTGTGCATTATAAGATGTGATGAGTTAATAAAGAATTTGAATCTCTTTTTCAGTCCACAGCGATCCACTTAAAATATTTCCTTAACTTAAGTATAGTTCCTTAACACGATAATCTACAACACGGTGGATACTGTGTAAAATTGTTATGACCATGAACCCCCTCCAAGCCTTAGCCCTTATGTTCTATGCCCAAACACATTACTGCTTTCACATTCATTAAATGGCGATGGACTAAAGGTTGGACAAAAGTTTGGGTTTTTATAACATGGAAGTATAATCACAGATTTGTATTTAGTGAGGGGAAATTTTTTCTCACATTATTATTGGCTGCTATGACAAGATTAATAGTAGCATAGGGGTGGGGGACTGGCTAAGCAATGATGGAAGTGAAGAATACAATGCTGGTGTCAGGATTGAGTTAGCCACTTGGCCGCAGCTGGAACTTTTTGGTTTTTTTAATTTACAAACAACTTTCATATATTTTGATGTTCAAAATACCTTCAAATTTGTATCCAGCAACTTCTTTGAGCTCTGTGCCTGATATGACCCTAGTGCCGGACACAGAACGGAGGAACAACATGGATCCCAACATTGACACTCGCTTGCTGTCTCCTGTGTTGGCCAGTGAGGTCAAAGTCATGGCTGAAAAGTACAACCCTTAATCAAAATACAGATAAAATTCCAAGTTATGCTAAATCTTGGTATACCATTTTAATTTTACCCAGGTGTTTAGTATGGTTATGCAATCAAAAACATATTAAATTAAAATAAATTGAATTAAGTTTAATGGTTCCTGCCAATAATTTACTATAACTGTAATGTTTAAGAGTTTTAGATTTTGCATAATAAAACATTCACAAATCCTGAGTTGTTTGTCTTATAAGACAAATCATTTATTTTATTATTAATTACAGTATAGCTGTTAAAACTTTATTTCACACACATAAAAATATATTCATCATTATTTTATTTCATACATAGAAAAGTATCACATCATTTTATTTGTCATTCATTGTTTTTAATGATCCCTACATACACTATTACTAATTACTATAATATTTAACAGGCCTATATTTCTAAGGAAATCCAACTGGCTGGTAAGGAATGTCAGCTTCAGCTAGCTTACCTGAGAGTCCAGTAGCTAATAAGTACACAACATAAGAACACAAATCATTACACTGATATTTCGTTCTTATGTAGGACTTCTTCAGAGCGTAGGTTGAAGGGAAATGTCAGTTTAAGTTCAAAACTAAAATGGTATTCAGAGTTGCCAACTAAGGCCACTGGAAAAAATAGACACTATACTGTACAATACAAAATCACAAAAATGTGTCTGTATTTACACAGCACTTTTGGGGAAATTATCTTAAATTGAGGTTAGAAGGATTTATGGAGCCTGTAATATATTGGTAGGCTAATTCCCACCTCATTATATAGTAGGGACTTTCAAATAGATATGGTCTTTATTGCTTTGGTGGTGTGGCAAGAATCAATGGCAATGGTTTTACCTTTGTGGGTCTTTACATCTTAACTAATGGTGCGTCCAGAGTGCAAGCCAATTCAGATTCAGATTTTGCAATCGGCGTATTTCCTGCTTCCACTGTGGCCACCGACAAAATATCTGACTGAGGTAAAACACGCGCCGAAAATCTGAATCCGAATCGACGTGCACTCTGGACGTACTGTTAGTCATGTCATTCTCTTTCTAAGGGTTTGTGTATTGTACTTGAGAGAGGTGATTAATTTGGAGTTAGCAGATGAGGTTTTCACTATTGTAAATATGTTCTTTCATCTTTAGACCATTCAATGTACATTTATATGTGCCTTGTGACTAAAAAGATTACAGTAGAACCTTGATAACAAGACTCTCATGGGGATTATAAAATAAGTCTGGTTATCAAGGTTGACTTCTTATTGAGGTTTGCAATAACATGTGTTTGGAGGTAAGATAAATTCAAGGGAATTTGAAAAATACACTTGTTATCAAGAGTGACTTGTTATCGAGGATCTTCTTATTGAGGTTCCACTGTATTTGACTTTGACTTGTAGCCTGTTCTATATTGTGGGATGTGCTAGTGAAGGGGTTGGCCACAGTTTCCAACTCTGAAGTTCACTTCAATTTGAACTTTAACTGACACAACTCTATGTAGAAGTAATTGATCATCAGGGTGAAATATCAGTGTTATGTTTTGTGTTTTTTTTTTTCTATTAGCCCCTGGACCCTGATTTTCTCAGGTAATGTTAAGAGCTCGGCTAATGTAATTATTTAAGAGTGGGCTACAATATTAACTCTAGGCCTTCTATAAATAAAAAAGGCTGTGACAGATAAATCTCCTCATTTAACAGAAGTTACAGTCTTATTTCCTAGTTGTGAAGACCAATTAACGCAACACAAAGATGATACAGGGCTATAGATATACAAGGGCTGGCCCACTCCTTTGATGTTAGCGGCTGCCGCCCGATCCTACTTCCCCCTCTCCCGCCCCTCCTCAGTGACGTAGCGCTGGTACATTGGCGTGTGGCTCGATGGCAGCCTAGCATGGCAGTGCATACTGCATTAATGTGGCCGGGCATCTATGCGCATCGTAATAATTGTGTTTATAATAATGTATCATCGTTTCTTTTAATTAATCTTACTATCTTATCTTACTAATATTATAAATGTGAAAGTTTGTGTGTTTGTTTATTTGAAGTTCAATCACACTTTAACTACTGGTTGGATTGGGCTGAAATTTGGTATGATGATAGCTCACATTCCCGCCCTAGTGGCTCTGGAGTTTCCCATGTTAACCTTATGAGTATTCATATTTAAAAGGGATTAAATAATTTTGTCGGCTGTTTCAATTACACATGTTGTTCTATGATATTCAATATTATTAAGAGTTATAGGGTTCACCGACACGGTGCAGCACTATTAATTTTTTTTTCCATTTATGACAACATAGCTAATTTTTGAACCAAGCCGCAACAAAAGGCTATTTGTAGAAAACACCAAAAAAATCAGCTTTTGAAAAATGATAAGATATTTACAAGAAATGTTGATTATATCGATCTGTTATGTACATTTTGATTATTTCCATAATCTTTGAGTCTAATCTTTTAAAGTCATCTGAAATTATGACTGTTATTCGTTTTAAAATAGCGCCTGTAATACTTAGCAATTGCTCGAATTTGAGCAACAGGGACACTAGTTTTTCTAAATGCATAATTATTTTATTGAACTCACCAATAGATATAGGATTATTTTTAGTATCTAAAAGACGCTCTCCATGCTTAGTTGCGACCTTCCCCAATTCTTCTTTGAGATATTTGTACATTTCTTTACGTTGACTGATGAGGTTCTTGTAGCCATTTACCCCGAGTGAGAGAAGAGTTATGAACACATCCATGGCGGGACTCGCTGAGGCTCGTCCTGCGAATACATTGGGTCAAGGTGGTTAAGCTGATCATCAGCTCATTCATTTTCTGCTTATTAATTGGAGATTAATTCTAATACCCCATCTTAACTAGTACCGGCATACAAGATGTTTTTACAACTTAATCTGGATTAAGTTTGAAGTACAAAAATGCATGATTTAATTTTTTATGTTGAGAACTAGACTGAACCAACCTTCTTTGGGTAATGTTGGTGAATAAGCCATCCTCTAAAGGTGTTTATATTAGTTTGCTTTGAAATAAATGTAAATCTTTACCATTGGTTTCATAAAATAAAATTTAAAAAAAACAGTATGTCTCTGGCGTGTTAAGCTCAGAGCTAGTTAAATGATTTTAAGACAAGTAGGTAAATTAAAAGCTAACTAATGTGGCAAACTTGCATGAAAATGAATATAAAGAAAATAATTTTCTTACCAGGATAGTTCTTGGCTATTCTTTCAAGAAGGCCTTTTTCGAAACCAGATATGACAGCCCCACCAACAGGCACCAAAAAGTTTTTGTCTGTACTTTGAACAAACGCATCCACTCTTCCTTTCCTGAAAAAGATAATATATTTTTAGGATAGCCTACATTTGTAAAATGATGTAAAGAGAATATATTTTTAGGGTAGCCTATATTTGTAAAATGATGTAAAGCATCGATTATTTGATGGTCGGTTATCCATCCTTCCATGTTATGCGGTCCTCCCAGCTGATGGTCAAGTACTGTAAAGATGATGTGTTATTTTTGTGTAGTTAGACTGAACACTATAACGAGATTACACATTTTACTGCCTCTGTCTATATTTAGAAGATACAGGCCAAGTTTTGGGAGACTACATTTAGTTAATTTTCTGAATGTTAGCACACTTGACATTGTACACTTGACAATTAATTAACTTCTCTTATCTGCATATCTTGCTACCGGTACCCTTTATGTCTTTGACTTAGACAAAAAACATAGTTTTTATGTATGGCTGAGTGAAGTTAATGCAGTGTAAGTGGTGGTGTTTTTACTTTGTCGGTTTGTGTTATTGTTGTAATTTGTGATGATAACTTAAATACCCTTGTTGCAGCAAACCTGTAAATGTGCAAGTCAAACAGTTTACTTCTGGTATGATAATAACATAAAAATTTCAAATATACGGTTTTTTGGAAATTTTCACTATCACTTTTTTAATGCGACAACGGTTTAGTATACAAAAAGATTTGTTACAAGGCATTGCTGGAATGCAATGCTTTTTCAATGACATCACTAAACGTAAGGGTTTCCAGTGTCCCATAAGATTAAAATTTAAGGACGATTCCAGGTTTCTCAGATTAAAAATTTCCAGGACAAAACTTACTTATTTATACCTGCTAGTATATTATTTTCATAACTTAAGACACTTTAATAAATCGAAAGCAGAGCCTGGGTTGACACAGCGACGGTTATAGCATCTTTTTTATTTACATAATCGATGACATAGTTTTAGAATAAATAATCTGTGACAACGTTTTAGATAAAATAAACCTACCACATAGTTGTGTAAAATATTATATTTAATTTGTTTGGATCGCCTGTCTGAAATTGTGAAATAAGCATTTGGCAGTTCTGATTGTTTACATTGAAATGTAGACGCAAAGGTAAACCTTGTGAGTTTTCTCATCCTTCCATGGAGACCAATTATTAATATTTACTTTTGGAAACCTCACCTCAAAACTTTGGACACCCAAGAGGCATGACCCGAGAGAAACTCAGGGAAGTGAATAGGCCTAAAACATTTCTAGATATATGGACCATCTTTGTGCTTAATTTTGGTTGTAACAGTTTAGTGTGACAGCTGCCCAAAAAGACAGACATACAGATACCACCTCAATTTTATAATACCATGGATAGTTAGATAATAATTCAACTAAGCCATACCTTGCTGCTTCCTGTATGAGATGCATGAGGCGGGTGCTCTGCAGACCATACGCGTTGTTGACAAGGTGAGGGATGTTGTAGCGGGAACACAGCACCGCTACTTGCTCTAGACTGTCAGCGGCACGTGGAGCGAAGCAAGACGTTGTAGACAAAACACACACAATGTTGTCTGAGCCCAATGTGGCCATCTGCGTCTCTAGTGCAGTGGTGTCTGTACGCAGCTCTTCACCCGAGACCACTGTCTCTATCACTATGGGCTGTAGACCTGACATAACAAGCAATACTTTGTAGACAAAACACACACAATGTTTTCTGAGCCCAATGCGGCCATCTGCGTCTCTAGTGCAGTGGTGTCTGTACGCAGCTCTTCACCCGAGACCACTGTCTCTATCACTATGGGCTGTAGACCTGACATAACAAGCAATACTTTGTAGACAAAACACACACAATGTTGTCTGAGCCCAATGTGGCCATCTGCGTCTCTAGTGCAGTGGTGTCTGTACGCAGCTCTTCACCCGAGACCACTGTCTCTATCACTATGGGCTGTAGACCTGACCTAACAAGCAATACTTTGTAGACAAAATACACACAATGTTCTCTTAGCCCAACGTTGTCATGTGAGTCTCCGTCTCCCTGTCTAGACATCTAGCTCTCTGGCAATTTAATTAACAACTAGTTGCTCTGCCCGTTCTTCGCTACTGGGTGAGAAAGTAGAAAAGAATAATTCGTTTTTTTAAATCTACTATAATTAACAGTTAAAACACACTTATCAGAAAACGTAGGCAAAGCTCAATCGTACTTATTGATTATTTAAATGCAGATTTCTTAATGTATTACCATCACTTTATATAGTGTATTGCATTTAAAATATATGCAAAAGTGTAATTCATTGACCACATGGTACCAAGAAACAAATCTTCATTTCCTTCTTCTCACTTTTAATTTCTGACAACAGCTGGAGTTTCATAACAATGTTTCTTTCCCATGTTAATCTTATGGAGAATTACAAAACTTTAAAGGGCCTCAGGGCCTCAATCTCTGATTATTTCACTAAAAATAAAGTTTCCTGCACAATTTCACGTTACGCTCTTTCGCTCTTTCCAATGACACCAATAACATGTCAATCTGTTCAGTAGTTTTGGGGGGGTAATTATCACAAAAACCTGCTTTCGTATTAAATAATTATAGATTATCTTTTGGATTGTTAGATTTGTTTATAAATTGGTAGCATTTACAATTAGGTGTGTTGTTTTAACACAATCACTGAGATTTTGTAAATTTGCAAACTTATGAGTTTATTTTTCTTTGTTAGTGTAATAATGTAGAAAAATAATAAACTGTGTCAATAATAAGTGTTTTGTTTTAAGTCATTTTTAATGTATATTTATTTCTGTTTTGAATTGACATGCACTCAAGGAATTTGCACTGGGCCAGAGTTTCAAACCTTGATTAACATATATTCCTTTATCATACTTTTTGGCGTTTTGATTGCTAAATGTAGGATAAAATATGCTACATATACAACGTTTTTATAGATGTAATATTACTAGACAACAAAAATGGCTGCAAATTGCCAAGCATATTTTTTGGGAATCTGCAATGACAGTTTCCATGTTTTCATTCTGTTGAGGATTTATAAGTTAAAATATTACCTGCTGTAATAATGCACTTAAAGCAAGACTTCTGATCGATGCGGGACCACAAGACAAATTTAGCTCCTGGACGGTCCTGTTTCATTGTGAGCATACACAAAACCAACGACATTCCTGTAGCCATCGGGACCATGAAACACCCAGCAGAGTTGTTCACTCCTGTAACCAAGCCAAGTAAAGTCAGTACACTCTCATTATTGTGATACAAGTAGGCCCACAGCCTAGTCCACCCATTGATTAGAAGATGGCACAGGGTTTAGAAACTTTAAAAGACTCCTTCAGATTTCAAAGTTCTCTGTTGAAGGTTTTGTTGGGCCAGAGATAACAAAGAAATGTACATGTTTATTCGCTCCATACTTACCACCAGCGGGTTAGGATTAATCCAATTTCCTGTCTCTAGTCACATTCATTGGTTCAAGCCTAGCCCACACATGGAGACTGAGTCGGCCGCAGTCTGTCAACACAGTTTCGGATACAAGATTCCGATATGTTTTGCGTCCACACTAGTCAGCCAGTGTTTCTGTGTTTGTTGGTATGGCGACCGAGGAGGACGTAATTATATAATGTGCGGGCTTCATATTTCTGAACCTTGGGGCTAATGAACCTAGGAGCAGACGATGATGGACCCAGCATTTTCTCAAGCAAGGTTTGTACTATTGTCACAATCTTCTATCAGGCCTTCAGATTAGGTGAAGGATTATGGAACTTCACGAGGTTGACTTCTAAAGATTTTGAAGCTTTGCTAGGCTTTGTTTTTCTAAGATTTCAAACTTGAAGAGATGAACAATTCAATAAAATCAAAATGTCATATACTGTAATATTATAAATTATTGACAACTAATTCCAAAACTTTCGAGAAACTCGATCCAGCTCTTTTAATACAGCCCAAAAATCGTATTATTGCCACTTTGCAGTCCAACTAAATGGGCTGAATGTTGAACCCCTTCGGCTTGTATCCAGTCTTCTGTCTCCAGACACGTCCACACATGCAGACTTGAGACAAAATTTGTTGTATCTTCTCTCCGTGTTTCCCATTCGAATAGTAAACAGAAAACACTGTATTTTATCTCCAGAAACACCGAAATTTGGCTGCAGTCGGCTGACTTACTGGAGACATAGCTGGATACAAATGGCAACACCGAAATATAGGAAACTGTATTTTGTCTCCAGGAACATGGAGACTTGTCTGCCGACAGTCCGGCGGTCATCTGAAGATACAAAAGGCAACACTACGGTGACAGTCGACCGACGTTTCCGGTGACAAATAGATGCGTAACCATTTTATACAGCAGCAGATCCAAAGAACAGTTTGTCCTCTTTTAAGTTCTCTTTTCATTGCAAAGCACAGGAGTAGAATTTGTTATATCTAAATGTGTAACACTTTTAAATAAATCATATGGTGTCATGGATATTTTTTTATCTTTCATGCGATATCATTAATGATTATTTTATTATTTTCCTAATGGGTATTCTTAAGGGCTTTTCATATGATACGAAAGAAACCACTTTAAAAACATAGAAGAGAGTTAAATGATGAAAACTCAAATGTACACTCAACACGGTTAACTATTTTTCTTTTGTCACCAACTTTAAATGCAAGAGTAGTCAGTGTCCCTCACCCATGAACCTGATGGTGTCTAGGAGCAGAGCGTTTGCCAGCTTGATTAGCAGACTAGAGCCGGCCGCCTTGGGCTGCACCTCCCCAATGTCTCCGGATCGGCCAATCCCATGACCCATACGATAATGTCTACGGGCTACCAGAGCTGCGCACAACCACATAAGAATTATTAGACCTCTTCAAGACTTTTCAACAGTGCCACAGTGAAAATAATATATGAACATTTATTTGTTTGAATTCTCACAAACATTTCAATAAATTAATAATTAATAATAATGCAAGTAAAAAATAATTAACTCTATTTTTACTAAACGGCATCCTGTAATTACTCAGTCATTAGCCAATAATGGTTTTCACACAAAGATCCAAAGGTCAGCAAAGCTAAGTAAAATGAGTTACTTTTGAGACCTTATGTTCAACTTTTGATATTGATACGATTCAGTATCCAATAGACAATGGGTTAACGTAATTTCAATTAGGGTACTTTGCAAAAACACTGCTATCAAATTTTAATGCTATCTCTAGATAGGATTTGTAAATTTGTCAAAGCGTTCATTTAACAGTACGAGGGGTGTGTCGAATCCGAATCTTGAATCCACCCAATCCTAAGAAAAGATTCAGATTCAAGATTCGATCAACGAAATTCGAGAATCAAATTTTTTTATAGAATAGAATTATAAGGCATATACTGTGACATTGCATAACCAACCATAAAGGTTATTGATGTCATAATATACACTATAATGTGACATTGACTAACCAAAGAGGTTATTGATATCATGATATCGTAATATACAGTACTATGACATTACCATTTTATGAACAGAGTATACTACCGATCATCGAATTTAAAATTAACAAGTGTACAACAACCATAAATAACCAATAATGAATATTTGCAGTCCAAATAACGTATACCGACCGACCGTTCGATTTAGGTTAATAGGTTAAAAGATGTAACCGATTAGTCGTCTGTTATTTTTGCCATGTGTCAAAATAATTACGTCTTTTCATTGCAAAGAGTAGTCATTTATGGTTAGTGTAATATTTATTTTTAAATGGCCTACTCCATTCTTGCTTTTAGCGAATTTCCCTATAGGGAAGTAGCTATTACCGTAGGTCTCATGGTAAGACCTAAGCCCGGGACCGATTTACTTTTTCATTTTGATGTCCCCAGAGGCCAAAAACACCATTCGTTCAAATTTTTATATATCTATATATAGAGAGATATATATATATATATATATGTGTGTCCATCCGCACGATAACTTGAGTAATTTTTGTCCGATTTTGATAAAATTTGGTTTGAAGGTGTAAGGCGGGATAAACTTGAATGAGTTCGCGAACCAGCATGATCGGACTATGGGAACGGGGGTTTATGGGGGGTTTTATGGGGTAAAAATAGGTTTTTCCCATTTTTGACCCTAAAAACACAAAATTTCACAATTTCTTTTGAAACCATTTTGTAGAGCTTAAAAAAACAAATAATTTAGTATATTGAAGCGTTATTATGCGCCCAATTGTTACGGAGAAAATTTAAAAAAAAAATAATTTTAAAATTCACATGTTATTCTTATGGAGAATAAGTCAACTGTTGTAGTTTGCTTGTTTATGAACATATTTTGATAGATTTTGGAAAATACTTTTATTTCTTACTAAACTATTATTTTATAAAAAAAAAAATTTACCCTCCCTGTTGCAGCAAACCTAAGTACTCGTTAAACTAATTCTATTTAAATAGGAAATAAATGTGCTATTTTTATGAAGGCATTTTAGTGTAAATCCAATCAGGTTAATGGAAATTCGCTTAGTATGCAGGTTTGCTGCGGCGGGGGTATTTTTAATCACCATAAGCCCATTTGTAATTATTTTTGGGACTCAAAGATTCGAAGATTCGTGATTTGATTTTTTTGTATTTGGATTTGAGATTTGAAATTCTTGGATTCAACCTTCACTAAACAGTACAAACTTATTTTTTGTTGCTAATCTATTGGTGGTTTTGGGAGTTTACTAGTAATCAATGGTAAATGGTTTCCACAATATATTCAGTAAATTTAATGTACCGTATCTGTGTGTGTTTCACATATGATATTCACACAAATAATTTGTGTTTAAATTAATTTCCTTTTTCGTTCACACATTATTACGACTTGTACACTATCACTCTTCTTCATCATGCTTTTTTAAACGTTTTTATTAGCTCCCTTTCTTGTCCGGTACAAATTTTGCAATCAATCTTATACTAACTTCCCAATGAGCTAGAGACTTGAAACATAGCTCACAAATGGATGATAATGCAATACTATGTCATTTTATTTTCATATTTCCCTTGGCCTAAGCCCCATGGGCTTCCGAATTTTGCATGTTTACATTTTGAAAGAATGTAAATATTATCAATTGAAGTCAGCTGTAAATACTTAAATTTGACAGTTCGAAGAGCAGAGGTTAAGAGGTACAGGTTCTGCTCCCGAGATATTCTAAAATATGATTCAAGCATTTCAAAATAAAGATAAAACATCTGATTACAGATAATAAGATTTTGGTTATGTAATTTCCATTTGCCTGATTTGATTTTGCATTAATCTATTCAAATAACATTAGGTTTAACGAGTACCTTGGTTTGCTGCCTACAGGGAGGGTAAAAAGTGTGTTTTTTAGTAAAACATTAATAGCTTAGTATAAAATAAATAGATTTGCCAGGTTTGATCCAAATATATCCACAAACAAGCAAACTACAACAGTTAACTTATTCTCCATAAGAATAACATGGGAATTTTTAATTTACAATTTTCTCCGTAACCAATAATCATACAGAAACACTTCAATATACTAAATTATTTGTTTCTTTAAGCTTGTCTTTTTAGTGTGTTTAAAAACGTGGCATTTTTAAAGAGTATTTTTATTTATAAATTATTTTTATTGATTTTAACCTTGCAGCTTACTTTGTAAATGAGGTCTACTTACAGGACGCAAATCGAGCTTCCCTTTCGCCAATTCCACAATTGCCAGGGAAGTTGTTGCTGTCCATCTGAGCCAAGTCGGCTAGGAACAACTCGATTGTAGCATCGTCCCATCCCTCCTCTGGCCATTTTCTCTGTAAAATTACGACGGCACATTATGTTGAGTTAGTTCATAAGAACCTAAGAAAATTATCTATTATCTAGGGCAAATTTTACTGACAGGTAAAAAAACCTGATTGAAACAAGAGAAATATATTTGAAAGTACGCTAATTGTAACTTACATTGTAATATATGTAAGCAGTTGTGTGTATCTTTATCCTAGTATATATTCATGCAAAAAAAGGTTACTACTCAAACCAAGAATACTAGGCTAGCTTTAAATTGGACATTTAACTAAAGAGAACAGTACTACAATAGGAAATCTGTACCCAATCCACAGAATACAAATTTTTACTTTGATAAGGGCCCTCAGTTTACCTATACATACTTTGCAATTTTCATCAATTAGGCTCCCAATGGCTTAACACGTTCAATGCAGCACCAAAATTGGCTATTATACGCGTATGGCTAAATTATGAAACCTCAAATAAACTTCCCAAAAGTCGTCTTGGATGATGACCTGGTATTATTTCGTCAAAATTTTCAATCTTTGACGAGACATTTGACGTAATCATTCAAGATGGGAATACTCGTCATTCAAGATGGGAATACTCGTCATGCGCCGCACCCGTCCAGCTGTCATGTAGAACCAACACACGTGACACCAAAAGTAATCCTTGGTTTATGTTGTAAATGGTTGTTGTCCGTATATCCTAGTTTATCTTCAGTGAGAAATTCATCAATCCGTGAAGAATTAGCCATAATCATTCACTATTGCACAACACTTACTTCATATAACACAGTAACACACGAAAACATATACCTACACAAATAACAAAAACCGTGCGCGACAGGAACGTCGCTGCCCGAGGAAACACGAAGGACTACTACATACAGCATACAGTGCAACGAAAAACAACATCCTCTGTTGTTGGCTCAGCTCATATAGAGGCAATAATTTTGCAGTAGTGCTTTGTCGAGTATACTCGTCGCGCGCCACTTGGCAGCACCAGCGGTGACGAGATTAATGGTCACCCGCATTGAACATGTTAATGGAAGCATCTGTTGGATGGAACATTGTTTAATGAATAATTAGTTTACTTGCATCAGCATTAGTAAAATACAGTTAAGTAAGAGCAATGGTAATAGCCTACTGAATTTTAGATTTTTTGTTCAACCAATAATCCTAATTTACATGAAGGGAAAAATGGTGCTGAAAAAGTAATCGGGAATAAAAGTAATTTCTGAAGAGGTGCTGACACAATAGTTAGATAATCTATCTAGGCCTAACATTATTCACTGAAAGTACCACAGTTACCTGTTCAATAAGAATCCTGATGAGATTCTCTCTGGCCTTCTTGCTGGCTGCAGCCTGCTGCAGGTAGGTGGCAGGGATGAGTCGCTCAGCTAGAGTAAAGCTTTGGCTGTTCATCACTTACACTTAATGACTGTCAGCCAAAATATGTAATTGTTATCACCCCTCTATCTTGCAAATAATTTATACCACCTGTAACTGACACACCTTTCTGTTTTGAGAAGCTCAATTATTTTTAAACATTCCTAGAAGCATGTTAAACTCTTTAAGACAGGTTAAGAGAGCAAGAGCGCTTTAAACAGAATGCACTAGCCTACTAAATTATCTTGCTTAGGGACACGACTGCTGACAAGACTGTTTGTAGGAATCTAGGTGAAAGTTTTCACAAGTTGGGTCATATACAGGGTGGAAAAAAGATTGGGACAGTTAAATATTTAAAAAAATAATAAAGATAGAGCTACAAAACTTGGTACAAAGTTACTGAGCATTAAAATCAATTTGACGTATAATTCAGTGATATGCTATCCCCTCAGGGGGGTACGCCAGCTTGAAGTTGAAAGAAAATCATAAATGTAAGTATAGGTCAATATGCACATCAAATAAAAGGTTTTGAATCTTTGAATGGCTACCATTTTCGACTCAGTTGTTAATTTAAGTGCTACCATAGATAAAACATACTCCTTAGTAGATTTCCCATCCTTATGGAACAGCTGAAGCCAATTTTATTGTTAGTTCTGTCCGTTGTACTGTAGATGTCGTGTTTTGTTTACACTGTGTTTCTATTATTTTTAGGGTTAGTTTCTCATGATTTGCGCCTCACTTTTTGGTTATATAGCTAGTGGACTAGTTATTATTTATGATTAGATAGTTTTATTTGGTTAAACGAGGTTGTAAATTACTGAAATAACAAGAAACAAATTGTAAACAAAACACGACAGAACTACACCGGACAGAACTAACAGTAAAATTGGCTTCAGCTGTTCCATAAGGATGGGAAATCTACTAAGGGAGTATGTTTGATCTGTGGTGCTACCCTGAATAGGTAGCATCATAGATCAAACAGGCTCTAGTATGTTTTATCTATGGTAGCGTGTAATAGATTTAAAATAAAAGGAATCTTTGAACAGCTGTAATTTTTTGAAACGCTGTTTTCTGTTTGAGTTCGGTTTTGTGGCATTGTATTTTACTATCAAAGACCTTTAATTTTATGTGCATAGATTTGCTTACATTTATAATTTTATTCTGACTCCTAGAAGGCCATCTGTAAACCCCCTGTTTGTTCTCTTTGAAGGAGGTAGCGTATCACTGAATAATGTAGTAAAATAATTTAATGTCCAGTAACTTTGTGCCCAGTTATGTAGGCCTAGCTCAATCTTTATTATCTTTTAAAATATTTAACCTTCCCAGGACTTTTTTCAACCCTACATATCTTTTTGTTGGTGTTTTTGATTTTAAAAAACAATAGATGACTTTTGGATTTTTTCTGGGTAATGAAATCATAGACAAACAGCGAAAATGTATACATATACAGGGTGTTTCCAAATTGTCTCGACATATTTTGTGAACTTGTTCCTTGGGCTAGGACAAACAAAAAATGCCATACAGTATGGGTCTAAAATGCCTAGATTTCTGTTTGTTGGTCTGTTTGTGATTTTTAAGAATTATTTTATATCTTAAGCATTTTTCAAGATAGAAATTTCAAAATTGGTATTAATGTGTATTTTAGTAGGTAAAAAGTTCCAATATGTCAAGCCTTTTCAATATGGCGGCCATTTAAAATCTTTAATTCAAAATTTCATGAAAACCGTTAATATTAAGAAAATTGTTTTTCAGATCAAAAAGATAGAAAATTTAAATACAAATCAAATGAGGCCTTGTTTGTTCAAATCGTATGACAAACAACCGAGTTGTCAGTTTTCTTCTACATTCCGTTGCACAATTTAATAGGACTTCCATATTGTTGCTATTAACCGAAACGCACAAAACACAAACTTAAAATCAACTACAAATGCCCGAAGATGAGCTCCAGAGCTCCAACAGGGCGGACGATCCGTATCGTATGGCCACTCTCATAAGACTGCAAGTGTCATCCCCTCCAACAGCGACATGGCTTTGACAATACGCCCAGGTGGCTTAACTTCACCTAATGTGGCCACTCTCATTTGATTCAATGTGTTTTCGGAACACGCGGATCATCACCGTCCGCGCGGATGATCGTGTGGCCCCGGCCTAAAAAGTAGGGAAACTTTGAACTACAGTTCAATCATGTGACATACTGATTAAAAATCATGGTCTGAGTGTCACTTCTTCAAATAAAGTACAGTATTATGAACATAATTTTTAAACCTAACGAATTCTATGATGCACAAACAAACTGATAAGCTACATTAACAAATAACATATTTCAATGTAGTACTGTAAAAACGTACCAAGTCTCATTACTTGATCTATAATGGTAAAAAATTTATTACACCGTTCCGGGACTTTATAATCACACTGTCCTACATTTTATTAGAACTCTTTTTAGCAAATTTCCCATATAGGAAATAAACTATTACCGTAGGTCTCATGGTAAGACCTGGACCAGGGATCGATTGACTTTTTCGTTTTGAGGTCCCCAGAGGTCAAAAACACCATCCGTTCAAATTCAGTTGTCCGTTAGCGCGACAACTCAAGCAAATATGATCCGATTTTGATGAAATTTGGTACAAACGTGTAAACCTATGATTATTCGAACGAGTTCGCGAACCAGCATAATCGGACCATGGGAACGGGGTTTTATGGGGTAAAAATGGGTTTTCCCATTTTTGACCCTAAAAACAAAAAATTCTGCAATTTCTTCCAAAACCTTTTTGTACAGCTTAAAAAAAGAAATAATTTAGTACCTACATTGAAGTGTTGTTTTATGCCTAATGGTCGCGGAGAAAATTCAAAAAACGTGTAATTTTAAATTCCCATGTTATTCTTATGGAGAAAATGAAAACTGGATGTAGTTTACTTGTTTATGGATATATGTTCATAAAATTTGGCAAATTTATTTATTTCATCCGATACTATTGACGTATCGTCAAAAAAAAGTTTTACCTTCCCCGTAGCAGCAAACCTAAGGACTCGTTAAATCTAATGTTATTTAAATTGGGAATAAATATGTCTTATTTATGGAAATATTTTAGTAAACATTTAATCAGACAAGTTGAAATTGACTTAGTCTGCAGGTTTGCTGCGGCGGGGTTGTTCTACTTTATGATAATTAATAATTATTGTTAGTTAAAAAATGTCCCATAAATGTTATGTTTTTTTGTTGTTGTTTATTATATAATGAGTCATCAATTGGGCAACATTGCATTTTCAAGTCAGCAGGAAAAGAAAATACCGCCGCCGCAGCAAACCTGCAGACTAAGCGAATTTCTATTTACCCGGCTAGATTTCTACTGAAATATTCCCTTAAAATTGTCAGATTTATTCTCCTATTTAAATTACATGAATTTTAATGAGAACTTGGGTTGCTGATACAGGAGATGTATTGAGGTGTGTTTATTGAAATATTGATATTTTAATATGAAATAAATAGATTGGCAAAATGTGATTATAATCTATAAGTATAAAAGAGGATGTTTGTACATATATTTGTTTGTTTGTTTGGCAGTGATAAACTCAGACACCGCTGAACCGATTGCCACAAAACTTGGTACATATGTGTAGAATGTCATGGAATAGGTTTATACACCATCAATTTTGTGATCCGTCCAATCGGCTCCGCCCCAGTGGCTCTGGAGTTTCCCATGTTAACCTTATGAGAAATGGAATTAATGAATCTTAACAGCTGTTTCAATTAAACAAGTTGGTTCTGTTCTGTGATGTTCAATAGCATTAAAGTTACAAGGATTACCAACAGGGTGCAGCACTATTATTTCTTTTACATTTATGACAACAGCTAATTTGCAACCAAAAGGTGAGTGAGCGTAGCGAACGAACTTCAACCTGGAGGCGAGTTAGCGTAGCGAACGAGCTAACCTGAAGGCAAGTGAGCGCAGCGAACGAGCTCCAACCTAAAGGTGAGTGAGCGTAGCGAACGAGCTCCAACCTAAAGGTGAGTGAGCGTAGCGAACGAACTTCAACCAGGACGTGATTGAGCCATACGAACGAGATCATCTTGAAAATTAAGAAGTTAAACGGGGCAAAGCCCGCGGGATTATAAATAGTCAAAGGCAAGACAACGTCTGCCGGGTTCAGCTAGTATATCCATAAACAAGCAAACTACAGCAGTTTAATTATTCTCCGTAAGAATAACAAATGGCGTCTGGGTCTGGAAACAATCTCGCTTGGATTCGAACCAGCGACCTTCAGATTTGAAGGCGAGCACTATAACCACTCGGCTACCCAGACAATTTATTTATTTTAGTGTCAATTATTAATTAATTAATTGATGAATTGAACAATTGAACCATTCTTCAATTTGATGAAGACATGAGGTCGAAAATTGACCGACTTGTATGGTTGGTAGGTTAATGGTTTTTTTTCTTAACTTGCTAATTCTTGGAAGTGTGGTAGGTATTGATTTACCCTAACTTACTTACATGGAGTGTTTGGTTGCAAAATGATTTGTACTTGGGCTTACCTTAAGAAATAGGTTCAATTAAGTGTACGGTAACTTACCTGAAATTCTTAACCTAATCCCACCAGTCCCAATAAAGTGAGGCTAAGTTAATGCAAAATGTTAATACTGTAATGCTTTTTATATTAGCCTATTATTGGCCCTTAGTGTTCATAAAGATTTATTTTTTAATCCAGTCTAAACGTCAAAAAAGTGAATCTGCAGGTAAAATAGGAGCACTGGTAATTTATGCCTAAATAAAACCCTAGGGAGCGTAACATGTAGGTAAGTTAAGTAAGGTCTTCAAGTAAAATTATTTGGATGACATTTCTACTTAAATAGGCCTATTACTATAAATTAGTGTACTGGTACCCTAAAAACTTTTTAATGAGTCAAATTCTTACTTTAAGAAAACAGGACTAAAGGTCTCCCAAATTTTACCTAGGCAAGAATTGGACCCAATTGTAGGCTATCTAGCCTAATTTAATGGATTTTGTGAAAAACTATGAATTTAAGATTAGGCCTAAACATTATTCTTCAAAATAACATTTTGCTATTATAGTGGTGTATGTGGCTATTTGGTTAAGTATTTGGTTGGTTTTTATTTTTCTGTCCCTCAGAAGGACCTGATCCAAGAAAATGTGGAAATTTAACACTACCGTATTGACATTATTAATGCTGTTTTGGGCTTTAAACTCTTACAGTAAAGATGTGTATGACATGACACCTAATCTTATGAAAGACATTGTTTGGACACTGGCACCTATACTAGCCCATTTGGTCAATTTATGCTTTTTAGTAGGTATTTTTCCTGCTCCATTAAAAGTCTCTAGAACTCTCCCTGTCTATAAAAAGGTCCCGTGACAATGTTACAAGTTATCAACCAATATCGTTGATTCCTGTATTTTCCAAACTGTTTGAAGCTATTGTTTTCTCAATGTACCACCACCTTGAAGCACACAGCCTTCAATTTCAATTCAATTTCAATCAATCAATCAATTTGGCTTCAGGAAAGCCAAATCCACCATATTGGCTGTTGATTCTATTGTACAAATAATTGTTGATGCTTTTGAGTCTAAGTAATCTACTTCCATAATACTTTGTGACATCTCTCGCGCTTTCGACTACGTGTCACATGAAATTTTTCTCCTGAAATTGGGAAAATACGGCCTGGAAGGCAGTGTTCTGAGATTGGTGAAATCCTACCTGAATGACCGCCAACAGGTTGTAAGTTGGAATGGTATTACATCCAAACCATTAGCTGTAAGACCTCTGGTTCTGCAAGGTTCCATTATGGGACCACTGTTATTCTTAGTGATAATCAATTACCTCTATAGGTACCAGACTTGAAGGTAATTGCATGTTGTATGCAGATAATACTTCCCTTAGGCTATATTATGTAAAGCGACCCGTGAGCAAGCAGAGCTGTCTGTTAAGAAGATTTTTGAGTAAGCCTCTAATTGGTTTGTTGTCGATAAATTAGTGCTCAATAATGAGAAAACTAAGTGCATAACATTTAGCCTATGTGATTCCCAGATTGTTCCATTCCAAGAGCCGGGTCACACTGATAATTTTTGCAAACTACACGTGGCGGGATCCCCGTCGCGTGAAGTCCGCGTGAAACCCGTCGGGCCATTCTACACGAGGCGGTTCAGACGCGGGATGGACACGGTGGAGCTAGGTAGGAAGGTTTGATTCCCATGTTATTCTTAAATGGAGAAAATGAAATTTGTTTCAGTTTACTTGTTTATGGATATATGTTGATAAAATTTGGCAAATGTATTTATTTCCTCCTATACTATTGACCTATAGTCAAAAAACACGTTTTACCTTCCCCGTAGCAAACAAAAATGATAAAAAAATGTAATCAGACAAGTTGAAATTCTCTTAGTCTGCAGGTTTGCTGCGGTGGGGATATTATATCTGGTGACAACTTTAACATGGAGATGGAACATGGTGGAAGGAAAAAACATGTTTTTCCTTCCACCATGGGGATGGAATGTAAAGCTACAGGCTTCTCTATTTTTTTCCTACGCTGTAAATAAAACATGTGATTGGAATTTCTTCCATTTTTATTGTTGTTTATATTTTGTTGTTATTTCGTCACCAGCATGGCAACCCATAAAGCTCATGTTAATTTTTTCAAATTTAAAATTCATTTTTTGTCCTTATATTTGAGCCTATTTTAATTTTTAACACGTTCGCTACTGAGCGTCGCATATATGCGACGCCGCGGTCATTGCCACAGACCGAGGTATACATTTGAATTTTACACATAGACCGTCTGTCACTTGGATAACAGTACACACAGACCACGGGCGAAAACCTGTAAAACAGTGATCATTTACATTGTAATACGCTACAATCGTGTTTGAAAATAAATTATTCTTGTTTTTTTGTATTTTTTATAACCTTTAGTAATGTCGCATATTTGCGACGCCCGGTCTACAGCGAAGACAAATTGAAAATTATCATAGTTTTCTTAATAGACTAAACGTCGCATATATGCGACAGTTCATTTTTTGTGTTTTAAGGTGAAAGTAAGTAAAAAAATAAACAGATTATTCAAGAACAGTTTATAACTGAACAAATGTAAAAGCTACATAGGATAATGCAGCATACATACTGCATACATACATACAGTGATGCAGAAAAGTAAAGACCAGTTTTTCCAACTATTATATGACGTCACCAATCATCATATCCACAGACCAAGCGACGCAGTTGTGCGTCAGACATCTCTGTAGACCACTGCAGGGAATTCAGTGCCTTCAAATAGACCACTACAACGATATAAGCATTTTAATAACATTAGAACCCCGACGCAAATATGCGTCGGCAGTCTATTTGAATGTGACTAGCCGTCGCATATATGCGACGGCAGTCTATGGATGGAAACCGGCCGTCGCATATGTGCGTCGCTGGTCCATGTGAATGGAAAATTTTGTACTATTGCAGTAGCGAACGTGTTAAAGGGATTCTGCAAATCTACAGGAAAATATCTTTTTAACGGTATGCGTAGATTTTCTCTGCGATGCACACGAGCTGAGAAAAAATGTTTTAAAGAAACATGCTTGCCTAAGTTATTAATATATAGATTGGTTTAAATTGACAATGGTATGATTCGTTAGTTCCAAACCATGTTAAAACAATACAGTAATATGTTAATTTCAAACATAAGTTCGGTGTTGAATTATGTGGTTAGTTCGACGATCCTCTTAGCTTAAAGACCTGAATTTTTTACTTTGAAACACATGTTGTACCCTTGAAATTTGTTGTCCCAATTGCTTTGCCGGATGGTGTCAATCGCTTAGTAAAAATGTCCCACGTTTCAATGCATGTCAATGGCTTTCAGAATACAGTATGTATTATTTTATGTACAAACTTTGTTTAATTATTATAAATACCGGTATTTTAAAATTATAAAATTATTTTAAAATTTACATTTTGCTATTAGCATGCAAACACCGTTGATATTACTTGAACATTTGTATATAAACACCACAGACTAAGTGCATTTCTTCACTTTTCAGAGTGAACCTTGATGTAATCTTAATCATTATTAAGTGCAGGCAGAGCCTCTAACTCGCAAATAAACTTTTCGGTGTTGAACTTGTTTAACACTAGAACGCAACTGTAGTAGGCCTACAATAATAGATCACAGTTGAGCTGCCGCGCGCGGTGACGCTACGTGTAGAATGGCTGGGCGGGATTCCCGACGCGAGTTTGACGCCAACCTCGAAACGCGTCCTTCTGCGACGTGAATCCCGCTCGTGTGTACACGCCAATCTACCGCAATGGTTCCTGTCGAGCGTGCGGTCCCGACGCGGGAATCCCGTCGCGGTTTTCACGCTCGTGTAGAATGGGCCTAACTAACCAAACGATAGGCTACCTACATCGAATGAAACAATCGATAAATCAATATTTTCATTTCGTTGTTTCGTTTGAAAGTGCAGCCGCTAGCCTATTTACTGCCCAGGAAATAGAAGTGTTCCATCTTGTAACTTAATTCTCAAAGAGAGAAGAATGGCCTATTCACTAAGTAATCCTTAAGTTGTTTCTTAAAAGCCTTCAGGTTCAGGTCCTGCATGATTCGCTTTGTATTTAAAAAATCTCCATTACAATGCAGTAATATCTTTAACCACCTTCCCACGCATCTAAAGGCAGAGTCAGACCATCTGAAATTCAAAAGGAAGTTAAAATCTTTTCTATTAAATAAATGCTACTACAGCGTCCGTGACTTCCTGACTGACGTCTTAATTTTCCTAGAAAAAAAATGACTTGTAAACATTAGGCCCTATGTTTAAGTTAATATTATTCTAAGTTCAATTCCATTGTATATTATATTATTTTGACCTAACCTATATATGTAATTGTGTCTACTTGGTTCAATAAACGAGTTATTGAGTTATTAGCCTATTTTGTGCATGGTATTTAAAATTTTTTGCACATGGTTTGTTTTGATTGATTTTTGCTTGGTTTGATTTTTAACTCTTGATATTTGTTTTAGGCTTGTACATTATGCTTGTACTTTGTTTGACATAGCCTGTAACGGTATTGTTGATTGGCCGAATAAAATCATTGTATCATTTCAAAACGTTCCTCTTCTTTGCATAGGCTAAATGAACCTGGGCCAAACACCTAGACACAACATTATTGAATTTCACATAAAAATATATTATCAAACTTTACATTTTGATGTTTTAACTCACCAATGAGGTGCCGTCATTATCCACGAACATAGAATTTTAGTAAATAATTAACATTTTACTACTATTACTTACCAACATTACAATCAGTGGAATAAAACGTTCATTAGCCCAGCCCTTAACCCTTTGAAATAGGGCATCAGACGGGTGAATTCCTATGGATTTTGATGGCACTTTCCTTTGATATCGAAGTTAAATAACTCGATAAAGCCGAAGAAATTGCAAATATAAGCACCAAAATGGTATAATTATTACTGAAAAACACTCATTTATTGATTGCTTAAGCCATAAAAAAGATTAATAAGAACCAGGTTAGTAACCTAATACTTCAAAACCTAAGGATGCTTTTGCTTTCTGCTATTCTGCTAGAAGATGGCAACTGGAAACCAACGGCTAATAAAATTTACAACATAATTTCCTCAACGTATATAGTCTTATATACTTTTAAATGCATAAAAATGTGTTATTTGAACCTAAGTACTTAGTATTAAGAGTTGGTTAGTCTATGATCTATGATTAAACATAATTCAAAGTAAATTACTTCTTAAGCCAGGTTTTCCTAGACGCGGAACAGGAGAGCGGAGAGAGAGAAACGCGGAGTGCGGAAAAGAGATTAACATGGTGTTCCTCTCCGCTTCTAGGAAAACAGTAACATTAAATTACCTAAGACAAGTGGAGTCCGCTCTCCACATTCCTCTCTCCGCTCTCCCCTCCCTCGCCTAGGAAAACCCAAACATTGAGGGTCCTACTCGTAGGACCCGCAATGGCCCGCAACATTGAGGGCCATGTGTTTCACCAATGTGGAAGGAAAAAGCACCTTTTAGCGAATTTCCCTAAGAGGAAGTATAGCTATTACCGTAGGTGGCAAGGTAATACCTAGGCCCGGGACCGATTTACTTTTTCATTTTGATGTCCCCAGAGGCTAAAAACACGATTCGTTCAAATTCCTATTTTGATTACAAATCAAATCAAATCAAAGCTTTATTTTCCAATAGACATTACAAATGCGTGGAATGGTCAATGAAGGTATTATGTTGGTAAACATTTGTCAAGGAAGAGTACAATATATGTGTACATTTGGTTTAAATGTGTAAGGCGGGATAAACTTTATTGAGTTCGCAAACCCAGCATGATCAGACCATGGGAACGGGTTTTACGGGGGGTTTCATGGGGTAAATAATGAGTTTTCTCTTTTTTGACCCTCAAAACTCAAAATTTCCAAATTTCTCTCTAGAACTTTTTGAAGAGCTTAAAAACAAACAATTTAGTATATCAACATGTTTTTGTACGGTTATTGGTATCGGAGAAAATTAAAAAAATGTAAATTTAAAAGTATTATGTTATTTTCATGGAGAATATTGTAAAATTTCGTAGTTTGCTTCTTTTTGATATATTTTATGATCAAACTCAGCAAATTGATTGATTTTATACTAAGCTATGAATATTTTACAAAAAAACACACTTTATTAGTTTCCTTGTAGCAGCAAACCTAGGTAGTTAAACATAATGTTAATTTGATAGATTTGATTCAAAACCAATTCAGACAAATGGAAATTCGCTTAGTTGGCAGGTTTGCTGTGGCGGGAAGGGGGGTTTCCTTTCACCATGGCCGGTGTTTCACATTGTAAAGACCCCATTTCACCATGGTGGAAGGGAAATATATGTTTTCCTTCCACCTTGCCCTATACCTCCCATCTTGTTTTAGAGAATTCGCCTATAAAGTTACTATTATCATTGACTATACACAATAGTCAATGCTATTATGCTTTTACCATAGGTGGCACGGTAAGACCTAGACCCAGAACAGTTTTATTTTTCAAATTTTAATGTCCCCAGAGGCCAAAAACAGTTTTCGTTAAAATTAATTTAATATATAGAATGTGCTAGAGTTTTCTGGAACATTTGATATAAAATATTGTTCCTTAAGTTTTTGACCTAACCTATACATGTAATTGTGTCTACTTGGTTCAATAAACGAGTTATTGAGTTAAGTCGAGGCAAACATAACAAACATATTTCACAACATCTTCCTTCCACCATGTCACAACATAACATATACATGTATATGGTTCTCCGGTGACATAGCTTATAGTTTTTCCGTCTGTCGGTTCTGTATGTGTTTTTATCTCTTATATTAATACGTGAGGGCTGTTTTTTGTGAACAAAACTCCTCCGTTATTTCTGGACCGATTTTAATGTTTGAGGTGTCAAAATGTTTGTCCCAATTCGTAGTTTTGCATAAAGGTTTTCGTTTTTCAATATTAACTTTCTGAAATGTACGGGGTGCTTTTAAAGTACGTTTTTCCTTCCATTATATTAACATGGGAAAAAGTTGGAAGTGAGACATATGTTATTTCCTCATAATCTATAAAAACATATGATGTTTGATTATTTTGTTTTTAGACGTTTATTTACATTTTTGTGAAATTAATACAAAATTATAACCTTAAACGTATAATATCATAAACATGTTTTTTTTGTTTTTACTGAGAAAAATACTTTAATAAATAATGCCAAGAGTCCAAAGAGTAAATAGGGAAAACAGGCAGAGACGGAGATTGGTGCGAGATTTGATGCGTATAAGACGTAATGAAGAAGAGAGAAGACCTGGCTTGACGAACCGAAATCCTGAATTTCATTGTCTGGGACCTATGGATATGCAGAAATTGCAATGCTCTGTATTTTCGATCAGAGAAAAGAACTAGAGGCGAATACACTCAATGTTGTCACGGGGGAAAAGTAGATCTTCCTCCTATAAGATCGCACCCCGTATTAGAAGAGATGTCCACCGGAGACTCGCAGAAGGCCACAAACATTTCAAGAAACATTGTAGAAATTATAATCAGGCCTTGGCTATGGTAAGTTCCAGTGCCAATATAAAACCAAACCAAGGAGGACCCTACTTTTTTACAGTGAACGGCCAGGTTCATCACAGAATAGGTATTAATATAGATGCAAACCAAGAAAGCTCTTCTTATGCCCAAATATATTTTTACGATACAGAGCAAGCTGTAAGAATGCGATGTGATGCACCTCAAAATAATTCCTGTAATGAAAATGTTATGCTTGAGCTAACAAATTTAATTAATGAAGTTAATCCATATGCTCATGCATTTAAAACTATGGGTCAGGTTTTAAGAGAAACACCAGGTGACCAGCAACAGAATGTCAAAATGGTTTTATACTAAGATAGAAACAGAGACAAAAGAAGATATAATCTACCAACGGCAAACGATGTAGCAGCCGTATTTAAATCTGATGATGGTTGTCCTGAGGGAGCTCCTGAGTTCATAGTATATCCGAAAAATGGGTATCCGGAAAATTTAGGTGCACACTGCTCTGGACTTGACCCCATGGCCTACCCCCTACTTTTTCCATTTGGAGAAGAAGGCTGGTTTCGGGAAATGCCACAAGTGGAGCACCGAGCAACATTGCGTCGAAACACTGTGACTCAGTTGCAGTTTGCATCTCACAGACTTTCGGTCAGACAAGATTATTCCCCTGTCATCCATGGGGGGAAATTATCTCTTCAGTATATCGTGGATATGTTCACAAGAATAGAGGGAGATCGGCTTGCCTTTATTCGCCGTGAACAGTCAAAACTTCGGGCTGAACTCTACATGAACCTTCACGATGCTATCCGAGCTCGCGCTGAAAACGAAGGGCTTAATGTTGGTCGGCAGGTCATACTTCCTAAATCATTTCAAGGCAGCTATCGAAATCTACATAGTAATTACTTGGATGCAATGTCAATAGTTCGTCAACAAGGTAAGCCTGATCTGTTTATTACCTTTACTTGCAATTCAAATTGGGAAGAGATTAAATCAAATCTGAAGTACGAACCCGCAAACATGCGACCAGATTTAGTAGTAAGAGTATTTCATGAGAAACTAAAAGATCTCATGAAAGAAATAACAGATAATAAGATTTTCGGTACAGTGATTGCTAATATTTATACAATTGAATTCCAAAAAAGGGGCCTTCCACATGCACACATTCTTATAACTCTTGATAGAGACTCTAAACTAAGAGATTCAGATGACATTGATCAATTAGTTTGGGCAGAAATTCCCGACCCAGTTTTGTATCCAGACCTGCACGAAATCGTTGCTCGCAACATGATTCACGGGCCATGTGGCACCACAAATCCAAACGCACCATGTATGATTGAAGGTAAATGCTCTAAATCATTCCCAAAACAGTTTCTAGACCAAACGCGAGAAAATGTGAATGGGTACCCTATCTACAGACGTAGAGATGATGGAAAAACTTTAATTGTTCGTGGATCAACAGTGGATAACAGATTTGTAGTACCTTATAACCCCTATCTTCTCAAGAAGTTCAATGCTCATATCAATGTTGAAATATGCAGTACAGTTAAATCTGTAAAGTACATTTATAAATATATTTATAAAGGTTTTGACTCTGCTTCAATTGAGTTTAGAAATGGTGACACCATTATATATGATGAAGTTCAGGGATATTTGAACGCTAGGTGGGTAGGCTCTGCAGAGGCGATGTGGAGAATTCAAGAGTACCCGATGCACCACCAATCACACACTGTGGTTAATCTAGAATGCCACCTGGAAGACCAGCAACGAGTTATCTTTGTTCAAGGAAATGAAGAACAAGCTCTAGAACCAAGAAATACTAAACTGATGGCTTGGTTTCGTTTGAATGAAACGGATGAATCAGCAAGAGAATACACCTACTGTGAAATTCCGAAGCACAACACCTGGCAAGACAACGGTAAATTTTGGCGGAAGCGACAAAGAGGTAATGACAGAATTATTGCACGATTAAATGTTGTTTCTGCAAAGAATGTTGAGCTTTTTCATATTCGTTTACTTCTCCTTCATGTTAAAGGTGCAAGATGTTTTAATGACATTCGCACCGTTGATGGCCATGTTTATGAAACGTACCGAGATGCCGCCATAGCAAGAGGGATTGCTGAAAGTTCGCAACTGAGTCGTGACACTCTTCAAGAAGCTGTTTACTATGCTTCACCTAATGATCTTCGTAATTTATTTGGATGTCTTCTTGGGCTTAACGTACCAACTGAGAGCCTAGACTTATGGAATGAATTTAAAGCTTACATGATCGAAGATTTTACAAATCGGGGTTCATCGGAGGAAGAAGCACTGAATGGAGCTCTATCTCAGATTGAAGAAATTTTAAGGACGCACAATACAAGCTGCAGAGATCTCGGTTTACCGACTCCTGTTATTCGTTTGAATCAGGTTGTAAACCAAGCAAACTCAGAAACGAAACGAGTTGAGTTTGATTCTTTATACTCAAAAGCTAATGAAGACCAAAAGAAAATCATTGATTCAATAATTGAGAAGGTCCAATCACGTGACAGATGTCACAGTTTGTTCTACTTAGATGCTCCAGCAGGATGTGGCAAAACATATATACAAAAAACTTTACTTGCAAAACTTGGAAGCATGGAGATGGTTGCAATTCCTGTTGCATTTACAGGTAAAATAGTGGTTTAAAAAATAACTTATAAATCGTAATATTATTTACATTTTACTTAAATAACTTAGAGAATTAAATATTGATTATCTAAATCGGAAAATAACATGGAAAATTACTACCTTTATACAACAGTAGACGTTTAAAGTACAATAGTAGCAGTTCATTATTAAAACAACTGAGAGCGGAGACAGATTTTTCCGTTATATTTACAGGCGAATAGTGCTTGAAAATTTCACAGTCACTATTAACTTATTAAGAGTAAGTTATTATCTTTTTAAGACACTATACAAGAGGCGAATGATTTCTTACAATTCGGTAAAACGGGCATTTTTAAAAACCGTTTAAAGTTATTATAGGCTATATAGAAATCGGAGATAACGGCTATACCAAATAAACGCATTAACACCATACCATTTTAAAAGACATATTTATAGTTATAAATATTTTAATTTAAAAAAATCATTAGGCATATAAAATATTACATTAATTTATTACTTTCAGGTATTGCAGCAAGTTTAATAGAAGGCGGACGTACTCTTCATAATCAGTTTAAACTACCTATACCTATTTTGGAAAATTCTGTGTCCGGTGTCACTCCAAACTCTCCACATGGCCGATACTTAAACTCAGCTAAACTTATTATAATAGATGAGATCAGCATGACGCCATCTAATGCTATTACAGTAATTGATAGGCTTTTTAGAGATTTGTCATCGGATCCAAATCTTAAGCAATTACCATTTGCAGGAAAAGTAGTATTATTCTCAGGGGATTTTCGACAAACTTTACCTGTGGTACCTCATGCAGGACGTACTGTCATAGTTGAGAATTGTCTAAAAAATAACCCACTGTGGCCCTGCATAAAAAAAGTGAAACTTACAAAGAATATGCGTGTAAATGATGGGGAAGATGTTTTTGCCAACTTTTTATTAGAGGTGGGGAACAACTCTTTGCCTAGGACATCAGATGGGTTTCCTATTTTACCGAAAAGGTTGCTTGGTATTGGCTCTCCAATTGATTTCATATACCCGGATGTGGAAAATTGCATTCGGACTGGGGAAATAAAGAATCGCGCAATTTTAGCCCCAAAGAATTCAGATTGTGACATAATAAATAATGATGTTTTATCCACCATTCAAGGCGAAACTAAGGTTTACGGTAGTGTTGATACATTGCTGGCCGACAACATGGATGCACAACTGGAATGCCCAACGGAATTCCTCAACAGTGTTGAGATTAGCGGCCTCCCAAGACACCACCTTTGTTTAAAAATTGGTGCAGTCGTATTGTTAATAAGAAACTTGAATACTGCAAAAGGCTTAATAAATGGCACACGCCTACAGGTAGCTAGATTACACGAAAATACAGTGGAATGCAAGGTTCTAACAGGAACCAGTGAGGGAGAACAAATATTTATCCCTAGAATCAAAATGTGTCCATCAGAGACAATTCTACCATTTAAGATGCAAAGATTGCAATTTCCTCTCCTGTTAGCATTTGCTATGAAAATTAATAAGGCACAGGGCCAATCGCTAACCAAATCTGCAATTTACCTACCTAAGCCTGTATTCACTCACGGCCAACTTTATGTTGCCCTTAGTAGGTCTAGATCATTCAATGGCACTAAAATTTTCATCAACGAAACCGGTAACCAGAGGGTACTTCCAGATGGAGGTTTTTCCACATCTAACGTGGTGTTCGAGGAAGTGCTAATTGACTGACAAAATGTTTATTCAAATAAATTTTTTATTAGTTTATTCTCCTTTCATTTTTAAAATATTTCTGCGGCGCATAGAGCCGCACGGGTGCACTAGTTTATAATTGATTTTATAACTGAAGATTAATTTATAATAGAAACTTAAAATGTGGTATAATGTGTACCAATACGGTAGTGAACATAAGTGTAAAAAAGTCGTTGCTGTAACTAATAAATTTTAAAATGGCTGTCGTTTACCAAATTCTATGAAAACCGTTATAAAGCTATAAAACATTAGGCATAGAGAGGTAAACATTCACAATTAAAAGCCAAATCAAATGATACCTTATAGTAAAATCTAATAATAAATAAGCAAAGAAGTCACAATTTTGTAAATCGATGTAATTGAACAATACATATACAGAAAACATTGTTTTACATGAGATGCTGCCTAAGGAATAACGTATAAACCATAATTCATTGACTTTAATAATCAGGTTTGTTATTTTTAACGTTTTTTATTGGCCACAAATAGGGGGTTTTCATTGTCGAAGTGAAAATGGGCTAAATAAGAAACAACGTTATCAAACAACAGTCAAGCTCATATCTTATCAATTAAGCACGCACTTCACTGAAGTGTTTGTTTTTGATGTATTACGTCATTGACTAAGGAAACATTTTCCTTGTCTGTGATTACGTATTTGTCCCTCAGAACTCTGTTTTCATTTAAACATCTTTCTGCGTCACAAACCTACCAGCCGAATCTTGTCAAAAACAAAATTGAAAGAGAAAACTAGATCTAGACCAATAAAACTAAAAACACAAACACGGCAGGCGTCAGAGCAAGGCCACACTAAAAAAACGTCAGAGCGAGCGAGTGAGTGCGTCACTAAACTTTTTAGATTGGTTGCTGACGATTACGATTCTATCATCATTTCATATTCAGTCCAGTCTCCCTCCAGTTGTAGTTGTCGTTGAGCTATATTGAAGCAGTGCAACGCAACGACTAACGACGAATGCGGTAGCACTAGCAGACGAAGACGAGTTGTTTATGTTGTTTGATTGATTCGATTGTACTGCATGAGTTTTCCCTTAAATAAGCCGCATAAAAGGATATTATTATAAGTAACGCAGAAAGAAAAATCGTGAATATTTGCTGGTTTTCGGTGGTGCATATTCTAATTCAAATAATCTTCGGTTCCTTGTTCGTACTATGGACAGTTTAAAATTTATTTCGGAAGAACTGTATGATAACCTAGTTGATTCTCCAGGACCTTGCTCGAGTCCGTCTTCGGAGCTGAGTGGTACCGGCAGAAAATGGTACAGGAAAGCAGCACACAGGTAAGCCACTATACGAATCTTCATTACTTCAATTAAACTCTTCATATATAGGCTTAAAGTAACAACGCAACAACAAAATAAATGATGACACTTCTGCCTCTTAGTCTTAATAGCAGTAAGGATAGGCCTAGGCTACCCTCTAGGCATAGGCCGCGCGGCCGGTCCAAAGAGAAGGCGTAGCCGTTTTTCAATGCATTGCCAAATAACTTGTGCATAATCTAGGATTTTTTTCAAACCCTGCTTAAAAAAATGCATAAGAAAATTACTTTTATCTAGAAGTTAAGTAGGTGTAAGTTAAAAATGCTAGGCCTGCTATCTGTGCTAATTATTTAATTGCCGAGGGGCAGTCACTATACGTAGATCTATGTGTGTGTGTGTGTGTGTCCCTCAACAGGAAAACTCGAGTAATTTTGGTCCCATTTTCATGAAATTTAGGTTAAAGTTGTAGGTCAGGATAAGTAACTTTAAATGAGTTCGTGAACCAGCATGATCCGACCATAGGGATAGGGGTTTCATGGGGTAAAAATTTGGTTTTCCCATATTTGATCGTCAAAACATAACTTTCTTATCATCTCTTTGAAACCATTTTGAAGAGTTAAAAAAAAAAAAAAGTTTAAGTTAGTAGGCCTACCCAGGCCTACTTACCATTGAAAGTAATTTTGTACGTTTTTAATTGGATATAGAGAATAGACTATTAAAAACATGTAAAATTTAAAATCCCACGTCATTTTTATGGAAATTAAAGTAAGTTACTTAAATGGTTGTAGTTTGCTTGTTTATGGATAAGTAAACTTATATGTTGATCAAATTTATTTAAGTTTATTACACCTTAGCCTATAAATGCTGATCTTATTTAGTAAAAAAGCAATACAGGTCAACACACCATTCTACACTCAATCTTCACTCTTATTTGGGTTAAAATACGCACCTAGGTGGCGTCCCCATCTCAATGATTGATAATTGATATAGCCTATTATCAACATTTTGTTGTACACAACTCATACCTTCCCTATAGCAGCAAACCTAAATACTCGTTAAATCTAATGTTATTTAAATGGGAAATAAATAGCCTACTGGTATATCTTGTTTATGGAAAGTACCGGGGGACCTTGCCTTGCTCGGCTGTGGTTAATCTAGGCCTATATATTTAATATACGCGATATGAAACTTTGTGAACAATAACGCTTTTCTGTTATAAGATTTAACCCCACATATTACATACCAAAATGTTCGTCTAGGTGTGTAGATTTGCAAACTGGCTTTAGATTTTTGAAATATAGGCTATCTTTTAAGGGCATGGGCTGCCCTCAAATTTCCTTCCATAAGGATAACGTTGTGATTGATTTGAATGTTATTATATTCTAAAACAGATGTCAATTCATTAGTAAAAAAGATCCCAGCTGTTTTGTTTGGTTTTGAAATGTAAACAGTTTGCATGTTTTTAAAAATAATTAGAAACCCGGCAAAGAAATGTTACCTATAGGACATGATGGGAGAAAAGTTTTACATTTATTTTCGTTTAAACATGCCAAGGTCCCGATGACAAAGAAATATTGTCGGTTGGACACGGCGAGTCAACATACAGCAACCAATGCAAAATGTAAGGAGCCCAGAGGAGGAGCTGGAACAGTAAGTGGCAACGTCTACTTACAAAATTACACTGACAAATACAAGAACTCAGCAGCATTCACTTGGCAAGATGGCATTAAAATGCCAGAAATGTGGTGTGCTACATTTTAAAGATGAAAGAGGATGAGGCGAAGGATTTTCATCACTGCTGCCATAAAGGAAAAATGAATCTACCACCATACCGAGAAAGCTATTATATCTAGAGCCTACTATGGAGCAAATCATTTGAGTAGAAACTACAAATAGAACATTAGATCGTACAACTCTGCGCTCGCAATGATCAGCACTCGAGCTAAAATTTAAGAACATAACGGTGGAGGGCCTTTCATGTATAAGATGCAACGACACAATTTATCACTCAATTGTCACCTTACAACCGTCAGAAGGGGAGCATCCCACATATATGCCCAAATTTATACCTACAACGTCGAAACCGCTGTTCAAGAAAGAATGCTAAACAAAGCTAATGGCTCTTGCAGCACTGAACTCATGCACATTTTGACTCAACATTTGGTTGATATTAATTCATACATGTAAGTTTTGAGCATGATGAGCTCCGCCCTGCAAAATACTCCTACTGAACAGCAAAAAGAACTTAGAATGCGTATAGCCAACGATCGAGCTCAAGACCATTGACCAACGTCGAAACAACAACGCAAATTCTTACTATAATATCCTAATTTTATTATTTGTGTGAATTCACACGGGTTCACCTAGTTGGGTTTAATCGTAAACAGACACATTTTATAATTTACTAAAATCATTTTTATTACAAAATCATAGACATTTGATCGCTGACTGAATGTTTCTCCCCTCTAGTCATTGAAACCCGTTGTTCGACTTTTGCACTCGAACCGATTACAGCACATAAACATATGATTCAAACAAATTCATATTAGTTACAAATGCTTGAGACAATTTTCTGCTTTTGCACTACTATTTCTAAAGAATTTAAGATTCTGTCTCTTTTTCAGTGGCTAAGGTTTTTTCCTCAGTGGTGGGTTCTTCCGGATAGTGTCCACTTATTTAAAAGGTTTTTAGGGTCTTAACAAATCACAAGGGTGAAACCGAGTTAAATGTTAAATGTGCTTAACTTGTTTGTTTAAATTCTGTCATTATAATTCCTTAAGTAGGTAAGCTACTACAATTAGGCCAATTTATACTTAACCTAGCCTGTTTGGCTAAACCAAGCCTGAATCTGTTGCAGACTGTCTAAACCACTCTGCAGTAATATCAAATAATGTTTCAAAGCACAACCAAAGTGCCTAGCCTACTTTGGTTGTGCTTTGAAACAACTACTGTTAGAACAAATTAATTTCATTAGGCAACTAATTTTTCTGTTCAATGGAATATCCCTAAAACTATAACTGACAAGTGCTGCTAGAGCTAGTAATATGCACAGGCTGTGGGTTGACGAGTTTTAGGTCTAATAAATAACCAAGCATTAAAAGTTGTATTTCACAAAAATCTACAAATTGACTAATATTTTCTTATATTGGAAAAAATAACTCCATATCCAATTGCATTAATCTAACCTGCTCCTGCTGAACATTAATTTCAGTGTTGTTGTTGTTTCATTCTTTGTATCCAAAAGAGGCAAATGCTATTTTGAAGAAAGGTTCTAAATGTGTTGTTTGGCTAGAGCTTTGACGGCGACACTTGACACATGGTTTTAGTTAGTAGACACATGTGGCACAAACTAGTTGGTGCCAACTACAACCAACTAGTTGCCCACAAAGTTACATTTGTATACATAATACCCTCACCACACCAAACCTGAAAACTCTGCAAATTTACATTTTTTTTTCTGATAGGATTTTTCTAAAAAAATGTTCTTTAACATGTCAGATTTATTCCTTATTCAAATATTCGGTTTAACGAGTACATATGTTTTCTGCTACAGGGAACCTTATGATAAAATTTTACTATGTTAAAAGCTTAGCATGATGCCATAGTTGATCAATTTAACTACCGGTAACATCAATTTACTTTTTCTCCAATAAAATAATGATGGTTCTTTAAATTTACATTTTATTTGAGAGATTTATTTGGAATATACTTCGTAACCCTTAATTGTACAACACTTCAATAGGCATACTAAATTATTAATATTCTACAGGAAATATGAATTGGAATTTTTATGTTTAACAATACAAATTTTAAAAACCTAATTAAAAAAAATTGTTAAGCCTTATGGAACACCCGGTTTTCATTAGGCCTACCAAATTTATAGGCTAGAACTAACTTTAAAGTAGGACTTGAATTCACACCACAACGATAACCCCATTTTCATATGGATGTAAACAAAATTGTATCATGGCCATCTGTTTTAATGTAAACAAATGTAAATTAGAAAAGGTCAGATGATTGACAACATATTTCAGTAAAAAATTTGAAATTTTAAAAGCCTATAGGACGAAGGGTTTTCACGGGATATCATCCAAACCCGCAAAAGGCACATGTAGAGTAATATGCTTATTCTGCCCGTAACGGGATCAGTAAATGTTAACGCAACAATGGGCAAGTTCACCCGCACTTACCAGTGTCACTGGTGAACACAATATTTGCTGAATACAAAAATCCAACAAATTCTTTTAATATCGATACGATGGCTGTAATGAAAATTGGGCATTTCCATTATTTAAGGGAGAAAATTTTACTAAAACCTTTTTTGATAAGCTTCAAAACCGCATTACACCCTGTGGTCTTGATCCTTGCTGGTTTGCCAACTCATTCAAGTCCATCCAGCTTTACACTTTCATGCCAAATTTCATCAAAATCAGGCCTGCTATAGTTATTGCGTCCATGGACACTTACTGTATGTATATAGGCATATATAGGGCCTATACATTTTAATGGATGGGTTAGTGTTTTTGGCCTCTGGGGATGTATCAAAATGAAAAAATAAATCGGGTCTAGATCTTATTGTGTACCTATTGGGTAGTGCCATGGTCATACTTCCTCCGGCACATGTCCGACTTTTTGTTGTTGTTTATTGTGCTCACACTACCTTGTTTTGTGTTTCGTCTTTCTTATGAGGAATCTTTTCACCGCCCAAGTTGAAGATGATTTATGACCGTTAATGTCCATGTAGATTTGACAAAGAAGCATTTAAAGTAAAGTGGTAGTCTAACGTCTACAAGAACAGTATAACTTGGTGATACAACAAGTTACATAGCCTACTATTGTAATAATCACCTTTAGGCCTTCAGTTCAGGGCTATTTAAGACCCTGTCAACAAACTCACCAACGATGTCTTTTATCTTATCAATCACACTACCTATATATGAACACTTAATACAAATTTTAAAACAAGCTGATAACTTACTATTATGACACAATCTTCAGAAAACCCTCTTGAAAGATAATTA